AGTTCTGCAGTCCAAAAATAAAAAACGGTTGTAAGCTAATATTATATAAAGAAAAAAAAAAAAAAAAAAAAAAACGGGATTCTGATTGACATCAACAAAAAATGTATATAATTTATATGTAAGTGCTTATTACACTGGGCACAGGAAAACAAATATTTTGGAAATGTGTCAGAAATATTTGCTTAAAACTAAAAATTATATGGTTTATTAGTCAAACTGAAAACTGATGTGGTTTTGCCCAAATGTAAGCCGCCATGCAGTTCTATTCTGAAAAGCCAGAAATGAATCAAACAGAACGTTCAGTTCGTCATTCTGCTCAGCAATGCAAGTAAATAACTGTAATTTGGCATTTTAAAGAACAAATTATTTGCATTTTTTTGGTTAAAGAAAATGCATGGATAACGATAATTAACAATAACAATAAGCATCCCAATGCAACGGTATTCATGTTTGATGTGAACACACCATAAAACTGGTGAGCGGGCCCTGTAAATCTCTTCCTGTTGAGAGGCTCGGGACACATTTTCATTGTGTTAAAAAACAGAACAAAAGAAGCTTTTTGTTTCTAGTTTCATTTATATGGCGTTATACTTGTAAATGAATTCTGTGGAGTCAAATGATCTTCCATTAAAGTCGTAGGTAGTAAGGCCAAATCTTACCTTTCTCAGGATTAATCTTACTCGCACGGATCATGTCACAGATCAAACCGATACTTAAACTTCCCAAATGCTGTCGTCTTATTGATGTAAACACTGTTCGCTGTTTTTGTCTCAAATCAATGCATCTACTGATGGTTATTGCTGCTTGTGTGGGGAGGGAAGCCTCCCCCAATGACTGTAATGTGGACTTTTCTTATTTAAAGTCTTAAAATATTATGTGTTTGTTTCACAATCAGTAGTTGAAAATACAAAACTGTGCTGAATAAAACTCCATCTTCTTCATTTTGAAAGCATTTTCTCTGAGGTGGAAAAGAGGAGGCGAGAGGTGAGTGAAACATGGAATGCTTTTATTCATCCGTTAGAGATCAGCGTTAGAAAAATGACAGTGGACAAAGGCAGTGCTTCCCCAGGAATGATTGCAATGTGTGGCGAGAAACAGATCGCAGCAAATCCACAAGACTTTCTTTGCATGTTATGGAGGAAAATATCTCGACGTCATCACTTGGTTAAAACAAACACTGAGGTCTTAATGACGGCAAAGCTCAGAGCGCGTCCCCTTTACACTCAGCATTAACACGTGTACTGGCACATTATATACAAATGCCAAGCTTGGTGAAGTTGATCTTTGTATTTGGTACAGATTTTACTGAAGAAATTTGAGGTTTTCTGACCTGCTTCAAACACGGCTGGAATCCTTACAAATGAAAATTCCTGGACCAGTCTGATTTTCCATGTTGATGTTTTTTAAAGCTATTATTTGGCAAAATGAATCATGAAGATTATAAGGTCTCCAAGATAGTCCTGCTGCAGTTCCCCCCACACTGATGATGGGCCTTTTCCCCAGCAAAACATTTTGTGTCTATCAACAATGGCCGCAGTCCACTCGGCTCCTGGTTCAGTGCAATGGCTTAGTAAATGGAACCGAGCTAGGTCAACATGTCTGCTGTGGAAGAGGCCCACACACCAAGCTCGCAGTGGGTCCAAAATTGTAATCTGACCCTCTAATCACTTTGGTTGGCATTTCTAGTCTTTCTCTGGCTCCAGTAGGCAAGACTGTACGCAGCTTTTAACAGGAAATGTCCCAAAAGGACTCACTTAACTATTGATAGCAGTCGTTCTAACCTAATTAGTACCCAAATGGTATGATTTCATCAATTGTTGATGTTGACGTGTGATATATGGTTTTTGATGACCTTATATTGTTGCATGTCTCAGATACAAATTGGGCCTCGTTTGTTTACGATGTGGGAATTAAATTCCCCTTTTCAGTGATCGTGCTCAGAGCCCAATGCCAAAAACCTGAGTCAGCCTGCTTATATTAAACCCCTCTGCTACATGCAGTTGTTTATATAATCTACTTCTGAGATTAATAAAGTAATGTTTAAATCAAGTTTTAGGTTCTTTTTAAATTTAGCTGGTGGTAAGTGAGCCGTCTTCATCAACTATCAGATCCATCCTGGCTGTGCTGTTATCGCTGTCTGTAAAGGGGTTCGGCTACTTTGCAATAAGACAGATGTTCATGCTTTCAGACAATCTCAGCCACATTTTTCTTGTGCAGAGCATCAAAGGGGGAACAGAAAGCTTGGGAACAAACAGGCTCGGGGGAATAACGCAGTGCGACGTCACCACAGATTGTCTGTCATTGTTTTTTTTTTCTTCTTCTAAGTAATGACAAAAGAGGCCTGTTTTTTCCTTCTTAGCTGAGTTTGTGTGATTTATTGCTTGACGATCTCATGTGCCCAAGCCGATGAAGTAGAAACTGTTCTTTGAAAAATAAACTTTTACATTCCAGTAGGAATAACACTGCTGTCTGCACATACCGCCCTATAGAAAATATTCAGTGTTATATGAATGTTCCAGTTCGAGGCCAAGTACCAGTGCATTGTAGAGTTCGTGCTCGAAAGCTTCTCACACAGCAGGGAAATGTCCAGTCTGACAGAATATCTTAACAACTGATTCCAAACCATATTGTTTTGTGCTACCTTGGGATTCGCTGCACTTGCAAATTACTAAACAAATCAAATTCAAAGTGTTGAAGCATGGCTGAGTTGTTCGGGTCTCTTTTTGCGGCGCTGATCTGTTCTGAAAAACACCACGAACACGTGGAGTCATATCTCAGCAGTTGCATAATTAATTCACATTTTCTGCTCGGCTCCTTAAACAGAAATTAATCATGGATGGGGCTCCGCTAATGAGGAAAAAAACCAAAAACAAGGTTTCATGTCCGGAGCCACGTTTGGTCTCAAAAGGTTTTTGGACCCTTTACTAATTTAAATCACATACGATGAGAAGAAACAAAAGAATCACGACATGAAAAAATCAACAAGGTCTCAAGTTACATTCAGCTGGAAAAACAAGAGGTAATTAAAAAAAAAAAAGTATTTGTAAATATTGGATTTAATTCGGTGGAATAATTGGACACCCATGCATGCAGCCTCGTGGTGAGAGCTTGCAGCTCCTTGTGCGAGTTTCTCTTTTTCACCCTCCAATAACCGCATGAAGACGACGTGAACAGCAGCTTTTAAGTCGGAGCGGGATCACCAGCTAGCTGTTAAGACGGAAGCGACACACCTGTGAGATTTCAGTGTAATCATCAGGATCATCAGGAATGCATAATTACAGAGGAATTAAACTTGTTCTGGGGAGGCAGCTTTGAATAAACAAACAGAAAGTCCTACCTTTCGGCATTTAAACCCTGTTAAAGTAGTATTAAGGCCTCATAGTTAGACTTGCACACATGTTACAGAAATGTTGGAAAACAACCGGATGTGATCATTTAGCATGATTTTTCGTTTCTGCATAGGGTTCAATGCAAAACTTCCCCGCCCTGCCCCCACTGAGGAACCAAAAGCCAGCGAGAACGAAAACTCATCAAACGGAGGAAAAACAAAAGGACAGTTGAGAAAAACAAAACGCCGTTCACGTCGAACGCCCTGGAGTCAGAACCTGTGCAGCGCGCCCGCACTCCATCTGTGTCAGGTAGCTGGTGCATTCGTCCCTTTGTTTGCAGCGCGAAGCCCCGCCTCCGGGCCCCGTCACTTGAACATGCTCTGCAGCATGGCCGTGGCGTAGGTGGGCCGCGCCTGCCGGCTCTCGATGGCGCTGCGGAGGTACTGGATCCCGCCGCAGCGTTCCCAGATCTCCTCGAACTGCCGGGGGAGGATCTCGGCGCCCCGCTTCCTCGAGAGGCCCGTCTCCTCCAGGCTCAGCTCGCACATCTCCATGTCGTCCTTTCCTGTGAGAAGAAACGAGTCAGAAAAGAAAAAAAAGACGTGAAACGCAGTGATGAGGAACTCAAACAAGCCCAACTGCACTGTCAACAAAAATGCTTGCAGAATAGTTTCACACTGGAAAACCATCACGAGTCTGTGGCAATAGTTCACATCTCTCATTTGGAAGTTTTACTTAACTGAGAGAACCAAGTGCAGATGCCTGTTGTATAAAGAAATGTATTTCTCTCTGGATAGCAAAGTCATTTTAGCCATTTTTCTTCTTTCAATGCATTCATTTAATTATTTACTATTTTAGATCCTCTCCGATTCCAAGTTTGCTCAAAGTTTAATACAAAGTTAAAGAATAAATTAGTTAAAATGTAAAGCTGCTATTAGTCTCAAATAGGAAAACAATGGGAGAGATGTCTATGAGAGTTATAAACCCTTTAAAGAAAAATATAAAAGTTGTGTTAATAATAAATGCCACAAAATAAATGTAAAGCTAAATATGATTGCATATTTACACAAATCAGTTTGATATTAAACAAAAATATCAAACTTAAATAAAATGTTGAATGCTAACATCTTGAACATATTTCTTTGTTGTGCATATTGTTATATAATGCTAAACTAACGTTCGTAAGGTTAGCAGCCTTAACAGCCTTTGTTTAAAAAAAATGTAAGAATTTTTAACTTCCTCTGAAATATTTTGTTACGACACGAGAATAATGTTGATAATAATGTTCTGATACAGTATTTTTTTTTTTACCATGTTAATAGCTCAAATGTATGTACTTAGCATGTTAGCATGCTAAAATACTAAATGTATAAATGTTGTTAAACTGCACCATAAACTAAAAAAGTTTTTATCTCTAAAATGGGGAGAAATTATGGTGGTAAAATTAGACATTATTGTGAAACATGTTGACAACTGACAAAAAACCCAGAGCTGCTGCTAGCATATCTAAAATGTTAGCTAAAAATAACGTCATCTTAAATAGAGATTATGTAAATGGGGTTTAAATGTGAACAAAGGGGAAAAACACAATACAAAGTTTTTCTAAATATTTCACCAATAATCTTTTTTTATAGATGTGGTTGCTATCTACTTTTACATCAGAGGCTTAAACACAGCCAAAGTTTCAAATAATGAGTTAAAAGTAGCTAAAAGTAATTTTGCTTCATTTTCAACAGGAACAGCAGACAAACATCGTGACTGCCGCAAAGTATGAGCAGTACAACTGACAAGCTCCTGGTGCTGCCGGCAGGCTTCCAGAAGCTGGCCAATTAGATGTTTGGGGGTCTTTAAAGGAAGGGCCCCTCAAGGAGACAAACGCTAATACAAAGCATATTTATACTCATTATACTCAATTTCAGCTCTTTTAGCAGACCAAATGTTCCCAGTTAGTGCAAACACACCTCTGTAATACTAAAAAACTATACAGCAGTACAACACTGAAAATTAAAAACCAACAACCAAAATTTTATGGGCAGAAACATGAATTGCGTGTTTAGGTTAACTAAACCCTCTTAAGATATACTGAAGGGCATCCTAAAAGGCCAATATTTGATCATTCAAGTCTTTTGACCTGTCAGTCAAGCAAAGCTGTACTACTAGAGTCCCAGAATGAAAATGGCCCTGAATGATACTGCCTCTTAATATCTGAAATCACAGAGTGTTAAAGGCCCACTTTAACAGTCTGAATTAAATCTGTAGCCCTAGAAGCATTCAATGCCTTTATTCCACCAAACATATTCAATGCTTGCAATTTACATTCAGTGTGTATCTACAGCTGTTAAGGCAATAACAAGTTGCAGCAGTGTGCTCTCTGAGTGTCATATGAGGCAGTTACTCACCCACATACTGACGCCGTCTGAACACAGCGGCTGCAAAACACCAGCTATTTCCCTACGATATGAGCTTTCTGAGACCGACGACCTCACAGTGTTCAAATCACACATCCTGCACAGCCGTGACTCGCTTTCATAAAGCCTCAAACCCACAGACGAGTGCAGCCCTCAGAGCCAAATTAAAGTTGAGAAATATGCTGCTAGGAGTTGTGATGTTTGAACTCATCAGCACACATATGCTCAGACAGGTGGGTGAACAAAACAAACGCTTCGTTTTTTCCTTCTTTACTGTTGTTGTACTCGTCATTTGGTACAATCTGCGATTTTACAGCTTGTTCTGACACAAACACTCACTCAGGCGCTTTCATTTAATTTGGCAAATTGTGGGAGGATGCAGCAGCATCTGTGGATATCTGTTATATTGTGTTATCAATAGAATACAAATATTACACTTTGCTCTGACAAATGTTGGAGTTTCAAACCTTTTTTCTTTAATGCAACTGGAAAAAGATTCCAGATTGTTTTTCTTTGAAGTGCTCTGTATAGAGGACAATTAAAGAAATCCCAGGCACACTTTTAACAATTCAAATGCCTTTATCCCCAGTTAAACATTTACTTTCATAAAATCTCTTTTAGACACATGAATTAAAGAGCAGCATATCAGGTCAATCAAAGGATTAAATTTAAGTAAAAACTGAATGTTATCGACAAGGTAAACTGTTGGAATGAGGGAAATTTCTGAGGAAAAAAAAGAAAGAAAGGCATTTATGAAAGGCACATATTCAGGAGGCTTGCAGCTGGATAGCGTAGTGGTAAGACTGCACGGCTTTGGAATGGGATTCGCAAGTGCGATTCCTACCTGGGGGCGCCTGTATCCAGTAAGGGTCCTAGGCTAGACCCTCTCTACAGACAAATATGAAATATGATAAATATGAAGTGAGGTGTTGAGGAAAATTGATGGCGAAACAAGTAGTGTTGCAACATTTGGAGTAAAAGTAGAAAGGGAGGCAGCACCTTCAGTTTTCAGGCCCCTCTTCTATGGAGCTTCCCATTTGGATTCAGGAGACACTCTACTTTTGAGATTAGGTTTAAACCTTTCCCTTTTGCTAAAGCATATAGTCATGGCTGGATCAGCTGACCCTGAATCCTCTCTTAGTAACTCTGGATAGGTGTAGGCTGCTGGGGGGATTCCCATGATGCACTGGGTGTTTCTTCTTCACTCCCTATGTGTTAATCGACCTCTCTGCATTAAATCATTCTTGTTATTAATCTCTTAATCCTGTTAAAAGGGAGTTTTTCCTTCCCACTGTCACCAAAGTGCTTGCTTATAGGGAGTCATATGATTGTTGGGTTTTTCTCTGTATGTATTATTGCAGGGTCTACCTTATAATATAAAGCGCCTTGAGGCGACTGTTGTTGTGATTTGGCGCTGTATAAATTAAATTAAATTGAATTGAACTGAATAAAGTCATGTAGAATGAAAACTGCAGCGTATCGCTCTAATGTTCTGATAAAAGCTGACGCGTGATTTCTGGCATTCTCGAAGGAGAGCTCGTCAAATCGCGGTTGATGATTCGTTGCACGGGCCTCCTAAAAATAAAAGCCTCTGCGTCTCTACGGAGAACGACCTGATGGTGCATTATGACTCGAATATAATCAATCTGCTGCACTCGCACAAAGTCAAAGTCTTGAACATTGATTAACAGCGAAGTGCTGCTTCTGATTTCATTTCTTTCTGTGGCTGTCGCAGAATCAACTCATCGATTTTCCTCTCCACCTCCACCCTTTCTTCTCGTTTTTTCTTCTACTCTTTAACTGCTTGTTTCCTTATGCCTGTCACTCACTCTGTCATACTGTGATGCAGCCCAATGGGTGGTGTAACTGTGTTTAACTTGGTGCATATATATGTTGTTTCATTTAGTCTGTAGATGGATAGACTCTCAAAGAACAGACTAACCCGGCCACTGTCGACAAACATATGTGTGCAGAAATGTTTCCAACACAGGTGAACGTATAACGTAAGGTAAAGACAGAGATTTATTTCCATGCTCATGCTTTGCCTCCCTCAGATATCTGGGTTGTACTGACCTGCCACCAGTAGGATTGGGTGTTTATCGGGATGCAGCTCCATCTGCCTGGCGATCCAGGGTCCGTCGAAGTGCGCGTACCACCAGCCCTTCTTCTTGTTCTGGGGGTCCTTGTACTGGTCGCTCGGCCGGATGAACGGGATGCGGAAGTAGCGCTGCTGCCGGTTCATCGCCACCTCGTACTGCCGGGCCGGTATAGGTGGGGCTGGGTTCTGCTGGGCTGTTGATTGGATGCAGAGGGAAATATATTAAAAAAAAGTTAGGAGTCTTTCATAAATCAGAGACCATGTTTACATGCAGTAGCCTGGGAAGTGGTTATGGTAAATGTAGCTTATCCTGTTTCCTGTTTATCAACCTGTGCATTAACTTATGAAGCAGAGTAAAGACAGAGTTCTTTGCAGACTAAAGATAGACAAAAACATGTTGTTGTTGGTTTTTTTAAAAAATAGTTTTCTACTTGGAGACGAGGGTAAGAATTTCAACAAACCACACTAAGGCTCAGAGGATGTTTAAAACTTTAGTTTTTTGCTTAATGACATGAAAGAAAAGGCTGGAGTTGTTTTTATCTGAACTTACTAATTCTAATGTTTACAGCTCGTTTTAGTGTTTTAGCTAAAAGCTGCTCGGCCTCGTTAATTATGCAAGAGACACAATAGTGAGTTGCAGTGAGCATACAGACATTAACAACAGCTGCCTGAGCACAAATTACATCTGACATTCTCAAACTGGACAGTTTAAAGGAATATTTTTGCATTTTACTCAGTAGCACTCCAAACAGCAGCGACCGTTTAGATTAGCATAAAAACTGGAAAAGAGAGGCTGATCCTGGTAAATAATATCTACCTTCAACCTCCTGTGAATGTCAGTAGATACAGTTTTACATACATTTAATCTGACAAACTTTAAGGTGCTTTAAAGGCACATCTAATTAAAGCCGTAGGGGTGTCATTGGTAGCTTCGTAACCTTCAAGTTTTCTACTAGAAGATCTGGTTACAGGATGCAGCTTCGTGTTTACCAGCTGACATGAAAGTCTTTTAAGGCAAACTTGCATATACCAAATCTGCAATTAAAGTACATTAAAATGCAAGTGATTAAAAAAAAGCTTGACCTGTGTTGAGTTTAAATGATCTTGTTCTTGACATCAACACAGCACTGCAAGTCAGAGGCTGCTTGACCTTGCGTCAGTATTCCCCTAAACATACTTAGAAAACAGGAAATACTTTGTATCAATAGGTAACTTCACATCTGAGCAGACAAGCATCACATGTGGAGTTCCCCAAGGTTCCATCTTGGGACCCCTTCTGTTTAACATTTACATGCTCCCACTGGCACAGATTATAAACAACAACAAAATAAACTATCACAGCTATGCAGATGACACACAAATATATATCACAATGTCACCAGGAGACCGAGGCCCTGTACAGGCTCTTGGTAAATGCATCGAGGAAATTAATGACTGGTTGTGCCACAATTTTCTCCAGCTAAACAAAAACAAAACTGAATAATAATAGTAATAGTCTTTGGATCCAAAGAAAAACGATTACAGGTCACCAGAGAACTTCAATCTATACACCTAAAAACCACAAACCAGGCGAGAAATTTGGGTGTAGTGATGGATGCAGACCTAAACTTAGAAAGACACATTAAGACAATAACAAAATCAGCTTACTATCACCTCAAGAATATTTCAAGGATAAAAGATCTGATGTCTCAACAGGACCTGGAAAAACTAGTCCATGCATTCATCTTTAGTAGGCTTGACTACTGTAACAGCATCTTTACAGGTCTACCTAAAAAATCAGTCAGACAACTACAGCTCATTCAGAACTCTGCTGCTCGAGTCCTCACTAAGACCAAAAAAGTGGACCACATCAGTCCAGCTCTGAGGTCTTTACACTGGCTGCCTGTCCGTTAGAGGATAGACTTTAAAGTTCTGATGCTGGTCTATAAAGCTCTGAATGGTTTAGGTCCTAAACCATTCAGAGCTTTATAGAGGTCATTGATGTATTTTGGTCCTAAACTTTTGGACCAAAATACATCAATGATCTCCTGACCCAGTATGAACCTTCCAGATCCCTCAGGTCATCTGGATCTGGTCTTTTATCAGTTCCCAGAGTCAGAACCAGACACGGAGAAGCTGCATTCAGCTTTTATGCTCCTTATATCTGGAACAAACTCCCAGAAAGCCTCAGATCAGCTGAAACACTCAGTTTATTTAAATCCAAGTTGGAGACTCACCCACCCAGCTGGCATTTGAATAAAACACCAAATCCACACTTTTAAGCTTAAATTTCAAAACTTACATTTAACTACTGATTTTATCTACTGTTCTGATTGTATCTAGCGGTACTGTTTTTTTTAATCAATTTTAAATCATGCTTTTTATTTGTTTTTTAATGTCTCTGTAAAGCACTTTGAATCACCTTGTTGTTGAATTGTGCTATATAAATACACTTGCCTTGCCTAAACGATGGGAATCTCAACACAGGAAGTTCAGAAAAAAAGTTAAATCTCTTTTTCCAGCGGTCATCTCCATCAGTGCACTGAGTCATCTTTGAAATGCATGTAAAGTCTGACAGGCCTGCACACTTTTTGGATGAAACAAATCGAAAAGCTTTGTCTGCTGTTTGTGAGGACGGCAACCAGCATAAACTCAGGACGGGCTCATATCTGATTGTTGCTTTTGGCTCTCATGCTTAAATCTTACCCTGCGCTTGTCTACGATTCACATGGACTCCTGACCACGAACCTTCTACCGAAATGCTGCTTTATATCTACAGCTGTTAATACACAGGTCAAGGCTCAGGAACAGGACTAAACACAGAATCTCAATCAGCACAACCTGGTCAAATGTTTGATCTCCTTTTCATATTTCCCATTAACCCACAGCATGTAAACATGAAGCCCCGTCTGCCGTACTCCCATTAGGTCTGAACAAAGAGCCCATTCCCTGGTCTCCATGTCTAAGTGCAGTCAGTGAGTCCTGCTGTTAGAGCTGAGGAGGAAGAGGAGGAGGGTTAGAGATCACAGCAGAGCTGGTGGAAGAGCAAAGAAATCAGAGAGATGTGAAGCAGATGCCAGATGTTTACGAAGGGGTTTGCACACTCGTGAGAAACATTTAAAAAACTATTTGCATCCTTCTAAAAAGTGGAGTGTAAAGTAATACTCTACAGAGATTGAAGAAGCTTCTCTACGTGATAAAGGACATTTAATCTGCAGAAAACCACATTTCAGAAAGAAACTCACAAAATAAAATCTAGTTTTCGATTCATGTCAGCTCGTGTTGATATAAATTGCCTTTTTGTTCCATTTCTCAAGCTGACAAATGGAAGAAAAAGGCAACGTGTTATTTTAAACCTGGTTTCAAACATCTTTAGGTCTGTTTGGTTTTGGTTTTTTGCAGCGTTTCAAAAAAAAGTGAGAAAACCATCTTCTACAAAGCAACGCTTTGTTTAGCCGTCACCTACAAACCACCTCAGAAACCAAGAAAACAAACTTCACCTCCAGGCGTCAGCAAACTTCAAAAGAAAAACGCCAAAAAAGAGGGGGAAAAAAAAAAAATCAGCTTTCTTTGTTTAGAAGAAGCAGCAGAAATGTAGGTTTATCCTTCAGAGAGGTACTTGTGCTGAACTCCCTGCTGCATTCACTCGGCCTGTTGATTACCGTTTGTCGTATTTTAGTACCCGAGGTGACTCAACGAGGGGTCGAGAGGAGGGTTCAGGCTTCAAGGCTGACGAACGCACAGGATAGCACTGACAAAGGGTGGAACTGGTTTCTGTGGATGAATTGCTGCACGCTGCCGTGTACCACGTATGAATGAACAAACTGATGAGTGACCCGAGTCTCCATCTGCCTTTGGAAGTAAGGTAGCTGACGTGTTCTTCCAGATGTCTTCATTGGGAGCAGTTCTGGAACGTTACAGTGAGAATGAGTCCTCATCATCCCTGGACGACATTGTTGATCTGCCTCCATCTGGGCCCAACCCGGCTTACCCACACCAGATCCATCTCCTTCAGGTCGCCATCACAGTTCCATGATGTTTTGGGCCGCCGTTCGTTTGTGTTTTCCAGGTGGTGTCCAATTTATGGTGGTAGGCACACCATGCTCTGGCTATTTGTAATGTTGTAGGGATTGATGTTGTGGTTTTGTATTATAACCTCTGTTCTCAGGTTGCACTGCATTGACTTCTAGATGGGTTGGAGTCTCTGAAATGAGCCTGTAATTATCTAGTTTCGTGCTGTACAGTTCTTGCTGATGAGCCATGATAAGTGACACTCTTTACTTGGTCAGTGGGCCATCGGTAACTGCGATTAGTCCATCTGTGTTGGTTCACTTTGGCTTTGGAGGAGCTGATGTTTGCTGCTGCAGATTTAACCTTTAAGGGCAAAATTTAGCCTGAAAATCCAGATACTTGTTTCAAGACTTTCCACATTTTCTCCTGCTTTATACAACATACAGTCCAGACGTCAACAGCTTCACTTGCTAGCTTTAATATTGTTGAAGAGCTTCTTAAATGACTGAGAAAACTGTATTAAAAAACAAAACAAACAAAAAAAAAACCTCAGCAGGAACAAGCAATAAAACATGTTTTGGTTTCCTCTGGCTGACCTGACCTTTTTTCTCCAGTGTTTTTGAGTTCAAGTCTTGATGACATGATCTACCTCATCTTTAGGGACAATTTCGAATGTATACCTGTTAAAATAAACCTCTTTGGTCACTCAGAGTTCAATCTCCCTGTTGTGCCTTGCTCAGCTGAACAGGCTGTCGTGTATCTAAACTCTTCATTAAGTCTGGAGTGAGGGGAGTGAGCCATCTGCTTCACTGATGACTTCTTTTACTACGTTTCTCTTCCGATCAGCCGGCGTGGCGGCCTTTTCCTCCCGTCACAGCGCAGTAAACATGATGCTATCATCCCTCGCCAAACAGAAGCCAACTACCCTGAAAACCCAGAAAGCCTTCTGTCCTCCTCTCCCTCCCTCTCCTCTTCCTTGAGAAGTCCTTTCTGTGGGAGTATCAATAACAGCAGCCTAAAGAGCTCGCAGGAATATCCTCCACTCTATATCAAAGCGTTATGGCTGTCAGGCAGGCGAGAGCTGGCACCAGCACGCTGCTCGTAAAGACAAAATGGTGCTTAAAAAAAAAGCCCAAATAATGTCTCAATACAGGCAGCAGTTGCTACGGAAACCCATCCACCATCTATTTCCTACTCCTACCACAGAAAAAAAGTACGTTTACTAGCGAAAGCACAAGCCTGAGGCCAGCAGCGATCCCAGGGCTGAGCGGGAGGGGAGGAAGGGGTTAGTAATGGCGGCGGGGTGTAAGTAGCATTACACACTAGAGGACCACTTACATGCTGTTTTCACAGGTGGTGCATGATCTGAAAGTAAACATGCCAGGTTACACGTACACACACACAGGAAGTGATGCAACACTGACACTTTATGATAACAGTGATGAATGAGAACCTGAGAATGAAGACATGAACACTGACGGTATCAGACAGCACCGCGCTTCGACATCATGTCTCAGTCAGGTGTTAGTGAGGCGTGTTCAGCAGCGGCAACGAGAAAAAGGGCGACACGGAGGAACGGAGAGTCAGATTTTTACACGTAACTAAAAATAAATATGCGACTCATCAAATCTAAAACTTTTGGGGGCTTTAAATTTGCGTCTGCATTGCATCTGCTCCGTAACCTGTTGCACATCACATCGATGCAGAGCACGAGAAGATGTACTGCCACGTTTGTCCTGCCGTTTCCTCCGGTTTTAGAATGAACCAGTACCAACATGATAGAAACCCCATCGCCTGGTGACAGGCAGCAGCCTCTTATACAGACTACATCTGAAGCTCTACACAAGCATAAATCATCATGATGGTTCTGTCGACACTCTGGTGCAACACAGCGGTGCAGCACCACGTGTGAAAACTGACACACGTGGTGCTAATGAGTGTGGATGTTAGACAGAAAACCAGAGAGGGGGTTGCTCACGTCAAAGACCCTGGGAGTGATTTGGGGATCGGATATTATAAATACATGTCATCACCTTCACACACGGAGCCACGGCCACCGTTAAAGCCGGATCTTCTGACGGCTGCACATGTCACATGTCCGGAGTCGAAGCAGCAGCAGGACAAAAGCTGCGACTCTCACATGAAGGATGAGGGATAAAAGAGAGTGTGCGTGTGGGGGCTCGTGGACCAATCTGTAGTCTGAGCAGTGCACACAATAGACAGCTCTGAATAAGAGCTCTTTGTCGTCATGACAACTCAACGTGTGGCACAAGGAAATGAGGCGATGGCGGTGGAGAGGTGAGAGACGGAGTCCATTTGCTCGTCTTATTGCTGACTGACAATCACGGCAAGCTGTCAGCGACCCCGACAGACCGAAGTGCTCGTCTTTATAAAGTCTGGCATTCAAATGAAGGCATTGTTTGGTCAGAGTCCAGCACGGTGAATCAGTTTCAGATTTTGGAGACTTCAGAGGTTTAAAATCGCTCAGAGGAATCTTTAAGGTCAGAGGATCTCATTTATAAATGTACACAAACCAAATCCGTCTCACCGTTCTGCACAAATCTGAGACTCCTTCACATCCAAACAAAAGTCGACCTCTGTGACCTCTGACCTGCAGGCTGTTCAAGGCTCAGTGTGTTTCTCTCTTCCCGTAAAGCTTCGGGTTGTTTCCTTCTTTCAAGTGTAAGTTTAAACATAAGAGAGAAAGATTAAATGGATGAGAGACCTTTGTGGCCACAAGGTTATACAAAAGGAGTTAGAAGTGTTCAAAAATGTTTTTGAGGTACTTTGAGGTACATTCAACGTCAATCTGCAAACGAGAGAGCTGTTTTTGTACCGAGTGCATGAAAAATGCAGAAAGCGTTTCACTCGCTGTGGGAAAAACACAAAGAGAGACAGCTCCAGAGGAATAAACGCTGCGGCGCCCGTCATACCGTAGTCGGTGACAGATTTCGGTGCTCGCTGCTCTGTATCGGTGTTCCTCTTCTTGTTCTTTGACTTCCAGGCGTGGTAAACTTTAAGCCGGCGGTGGAACTCCTCTCTGCAGGCGGCCAGCAGCTCGATGTCTGGAGGAGACAGGATCAGAAAATCAGGCAAAAGAAATACTGACAGCTTCTGCAAATACATTTCAGAGACGTACATCGATTTGAAAACTGGAGAACCTGAAAGAACCGAGAACTTGGACGAATCTGTGTAAAAGTCATATTCAAACAGAGAACCATGAATCTGACAGGAGTCTGAACCCCGTCACTCTGGAAAAAGCAGTGCTGTCCTTCCGATTTCATCAACTCCACCATTATATTTAATAATAGTTAATAACAACATGCACTGAAAGCTTTGGTGATAATTACATATTGAAAGTGGGCTGGTTCTTGTGCACCGCTACTCTGAGCACTCAAACTTTACACAGTTCGCCTCATTCACAGTTTCACACGAGCACTTTTTCGCGGCTCTTTTTATTTAGGTGCTTACTAGCTGACATTCAAACACATTCATACTCTGATGCATTGGAGACCAATTTGGGGCTGGTGTCTTGTCCATGCAGACTGGAGCCGACAGGGATCGAACCAACAACCTTCTGATTAGTGCTGGCTGCACATCTTCCTCCAATCAGCCACTGAGTCATCAGGTTTGAGTTCAAGTCGGTGTTAAAATCCGAGCTCTGTTCTTACTTAAGTGGGGAAACCATTTCTTCACTGAGCTGGCTTTCACTGTTTCTGTCATGTTCAATTCAATTCAATTTTATTTATATAGCACCAAATCACAACAAAAGTCGCCTCAAGGTTGAAACAGCAAAGAGGGTGAACACAAACTGAAGCAGCGCACGGCTGACCGATTCACTGGTTCAGACCTTTTCTGTGGATGTCCGACATCCCGTCAACCGGGCTTAATTCTTACTGCATAATCACAGAGGCCGCAGTGGACCAGGTGCTGGGAATCCATATTAAACAGAGGTTACCTGACATTAAACTCCCTCATTCATGTTTTCTTGAGGCAGCAGACGGTGTTTGGCTAAAGGCTGTATCAAATAAAGGGATTATAGCCTTTTAACAGGCAGACACAAGTATAAGGACGAGTAGCAGCGACCATAAGACGTAGAAGGTCACTGAAATCCGAGCCTTGGATGGCAGACGTGACAGGCCCAGCGACAAGATCGCCCTCAGTGACTTCCCCGCTTGTTTCCTAAGCATTTAGGATGAGAAATTCTCCACAGGGTTAAAGGGCAATCAGGGCCATGGCCACTAGTCACCAGCTGTCAGAGAGCAAGCACTGAGTGAAGGTTGGTTTGCTTTATCTGTGGCTGTAGATTTAAATTCTCCAGCTGGGTTTGGGTTGCCTGATTGCTAACATTTTGGAAAAACAAATCTTCTCTTTGGATTTTTATGTACATAGATGTTATTTATGAACTTTTTAGGGTACAATTATACAGCTCTCTATGTCCACAAACCTTTGGCCATAAAAAGTACAATTTGTTGACAAAAAAAAATCCACATTATTGAACCGTTAAAACTCACATAATTAATATTGGCAGATGGACCAACTTTTGTTGATTCCCCCACACACGGCGCTGATGTTCATCTCAACATAATCAATGTAGTGCGCGCGCCCCGAGAGAAGGCAGGCAGCAGCATTAAGCACACATTTCATCTGGACGATTCAGATAAATGACTTCAGTAATATATAAAGAAAGAAAGGAAATAAAGAAAGAAAAACACACACATTCAATTTATCATCCAGAGTGCGAAGGCTAACACCAAGCAATGAGATGCATAATGCACACTAAGTGCTTAGGTAACGCCAGACGAACAAAAAAAACGTCCTCCGTTTGTTGAGGCGAGCGGAAACCTCTGCAGAATACGCTGCGTGTCAACAGGCCCTCGACGCTGGACTTTTTTATTCTGCTGCTCGTGATGATCTGTAGCTGTGGACGTGATCGCATCAGTATGCGATCCCCTCCTCTGTCTGGGGAGGTGAGCGGCCTGTTAAACGCTGACCGAGTCATTCTATGTGTTTATATGCGGCCGCCCGCAGGCGACTCTCAGCACATTCATTTCAGAGAAGCCGGCGGGCGTCGACCCTCCTTGTCCCAGTCCTCCACGCTTCCTGCTGCGTGGATAAGGACAGGTGATCTCTGAGGTTAAACTGAGAAAGAAAGAGAGGAAACAGGCGGATATTCTCCTCTTGGCTGTTTTCTTTAAGTTTCACTTTCTTTTATAAGTGAATCAAAATCAAACCAAGGATGAAAGTTTGTTCGTCCACTATCAGAGTCCCCTGATTGGATGTTCCACCTCCTGTACATTGAGATAACGGCTTCAGGGATGGAAGACATGTTTAGATCTTAGATAAAGCAGGAACTGCTTTGTGTATTGATGACAAAAGCTACAATTTTACAGCCGTCCAACTCAGCAGTAACACCTCAAACAGGGTTCTGAGGCTTATTAGACCACTTTCTTCCTATTGTCCAGCTTCTGGTAGCCTGCTGAGGGGCAAAGCCAGCACCTATGGCCTCTTTATCCACCAGTTGGTATGGAAGCTGAAGAAAAACTGGAAGCCTATTAAGTCAAATAATTTCTGAATGGAAATGCCCAAACACCTGAGACAAGCTGTCAGCACCGTGGTGGAGGGATGATGGTTTGGGCACCTTCCAGTCACTGAGTGGACCATGAACTGTATATCAAAGTACTCTATAGACACATGAGGCCATCTGTGCCACAGATAAAACTTGGACCAAACTGGGTCACAGAGAAGAACAATGATCCCAAGCAAAGCAGCAAATCTCCAGGAGAACGGCTGAAAAAGCAAAGAATCAAGGTGCCCCAACAGTCCGAAGTCCAGACCTCAACCTGATTTAAACACTGGTGCAGGACCTTGACAGACCTGGACATAAACAAATCCCTGCAGACCTCAATGAACTGATGCAACACAAGATTAAAGGGTAAAAATTTGGCCTTTTATGGTAGAAGAACATTCCTGCTCTTGTCCTTACAGCTAAACCAGCAAATCAGCCAGAGCAGCAGTTAAAACCAGCAGCCTCGCTGCTATCATTACGTAGTAACTGAACATATTCCTTAAAAAAAGACCTATATAGACATATTATATCTGTATTTGTTGCCTTTGGGTCTCTTTCCTGTCTGTGCAGGTCCAAATATGAAATCACACTTTTTTTTCCTCTAACATTTTTAAATTATATAACAACAATTCAATAACAGTCAAATTTGGCACAGGTAACACATTCTACATATTCTGGATAGGATCATCAGCCGCTTTTTAAATGTCAGTGTAAAGGTTGAGTAGGTTCGACACTCTGATATGTTACAGTGATATCACCTCGTACTGAAATTCTTCTGTTTGACAAAGCAGATGTACCTGCTACAGCTGTGGTATCATCACGATGAGTTTGGCTAAAAGAGTTGTCCTCTGTTCTGCTCGACCGGCAGTTCACTCCCACACGAGAGAAGTGGTCATAAAATGAAGCGGCGTTTACAAAAATAAAATTAAGTGGTGTGGAAAGCGAGCGGTGGCAAACAATTCTGTCAAAGCTGCCCATTTGCTGGAAACAAGAGGAGTGAACTCTTCACTCAGAACAAACAGCCTTTACGACCATTTAGCTATTCTCAGAGCGAGGGTAAAGGAAGACCATGAGGTCGATAAAAATAACAGCGGTCTGTCTTCTTAGGGAGTGTGAATACAATCAGCAATTCGCATCAGTGTGCCTGTCATTGCACCGTTAAAGATCAGATTTCTATCCAAGCACGCTGATAATGGAAAAAAGTTTAAAAATAAAAAAATCAAAGAGCTCATCCTCTGAGGAGTATGAACATTCTGAGAAAATTAGGATTTTTCAAGTCTGTCAGTCAAATTGAGCCATTTTAAATATATTTCGCCTCACAGCAGTGCTGGAGAAATGTCTACCGGATCCATTATTAATCCTCTGAGGACCAAGAACAGTGACTTTAAAAAATTTAAGGAGAGTCTGCTCAGTTTCCAGAAGAAGTCCATCACGAAAGTAGCTTTAAAGTACCAGTGAGAACAAAAGAACAGAGAACATCAAATTTAAGGAAAATGTGGACATGAAGCTCTGAGTTTAACATAAAGTTTAGGAATTTTAGAAGACAACAATGGACATTACAGGTTCATTAAAATCTAAAAGGTTCAACCTCTGGGAATATGAATATACACAGTAAATATGTCCATTACATATTAATACTTCAAGGCAAAGTAAAAAAATGGTTATTTATATCATTTATAATCTTAATCTCTAATCTGACAGGCTGAAAAGTTGGAGTTGAAAATCACAGATTTCTGGTGATAAATTATTAAAGAGACCTTATTTTGAAAAGCACTTCTTAAAAGGCAAAGTCTGGACTTGATTCTCTCGACAGAGCAAAATGCACAAGGTCAATGCATGAAACTAATTAAACTTGAATGTGGCACCAGGGTGAAGCTCCCACTGTGTCCAAAATGGGAAAGATTCATCCTTTGGGAACGTTAAGGTACTCAATATGTGTACTGTCAGTTATCTGAAAAATTTCCCTGCAGCTGTCAAGCATCAACCTCTAGTAAGTGGTTCATCCTCTGAGAACGTTGACTATCCAATAAAAAAAAAATTTAATGAGTGAAAATTTGTCTTTGTAACCCACAATGGCACGTAGAATGTCTAGTTTATGCTTGGGGAAGTGTGGATAGCCATTAAATAATGTCAAACAATTATCTTTATTGGAAAACTATCAGCGCAACAGTAAATAAGAAAACACTCACCACATGAGGTATTGATGGCGTCACGCAGCTCAGCATACTTCCACTTGCTCAGCTCGTACTTCTTGGTGCCCGCAGCCGCCTTGGACGCCTGGACCTGCGGACCTCTAATACAGGAAACAGAAGAAGGATGCAAGAGGTGAGCGACAAAGACCCACAGCTGAGAACTGTGGGGGACCGTCAGCAGGTGATCATTTCCACCGACACCACATCGGTGAGTTTACTGAGGGGGTCGCTGTTAGGGTCATTAAAGGACTGTGCCATGCACCCAGTTGGATTCTTCATAGGTTTTCCATTCATCCATGATATAAAAGTCACAAATTTATTAGGGAAGAAAAATTTACGAGTTGTTCTTATTGTGCGTATTAGTCAATTATTTATTTATTTATTGGCCTACATGGTTACCTGCCTCCAATCTACACTGGCCCCTTTACATTGTTTGAGTATCTGACTGGGCACCGGGTTGGTTTCTGTTATATGGCTCTTAAACTTCAATCTAGTGTTTCCCAGAAGTCTCTAAGAATTTGAAACGTGATAGCCATCTATAGATGCGAATTGTTTCAGCAACCCAGTGAAGAAATCAAATTATCTTTGTTCAACGTACAGGATGGGATCATTTATCTCAATCTTAAAATACTGAGACAAACTTCAGTCATGTTTCAGATTTTAAAAGTCCTGAAAAGAAGCTCTTTGTGAGGAATTCTGGATCAGGTCCATTGAACTGAGGTTATTAGGTTTCTCTAGCTTGTGCAGATATAAGATTAGTTAAAGTGGTGGCTTCAGAGGCAAAGGATGCTGCAGACCTGCAGAACATTCATTTATAAAGACCTGCAATTCTGTAATTAATGGTTTTATTATTATCTGGAACTGATCTGCTAATGTTTCATAGTGTAATCTGTAACTAAGAATGACTTAAGTTGCCAGGTTGTAGAAAAAAACCCTCATCCAGCATTAAAGTTTGATTTCCATTTTAGCTTTTGAAAGCCTCCAACGGGCCTGTTCGACCATTAATCTTCAGTAAAGGAGCCGCAGGATATCTGGACCTAAATCCCATTTATAACTGCACACTTGATGGATTATTGCGAGGATCAGATTTTAATGATTTCTTATTAACATTTATAATTTTGGGTCCTGGAGATAAATGATCGCACAGCCCAACAGCGGCATCTCAGAAAAGAAAAATAACGCGGGGAAGGTTTTCTACATCCAGGCAACTCAAATGTTTTCTTCTTTTTTCTGATGTGTGAAGCATAAGTGGTACGGTTATTGATCATTAATGAAGTTATGGTGTACAGAAGTTTGGTTCATATTTCAACCGTTTGCAGTGAAACATTGCTCACAGCCGCTGGAGCCCGGAGGTGGATATGTTTGCCCAAAGCAATGATGACAAAAACGGCTGAATTGATGGAGATGAACGGCCTTAACTTTTGCACAGAAGTGATGACAAACCACGATTTGTTGGCCAGATGTGTTCTATAACGCCTGATTGTGACTTGAATAGTTCATTAGGGTGCATGGAAACACAGTCAGTGACGCATCCCACATAGTAAACTCCACCCAGGTGAAAGTCACCAGGTGAGACAGGAACCAGTTTTCCACGAGGAACAGAAGCAGCGCCACGTTCTTTAAACAGCTGCTGGTTCATTATGAATGTCAGGGTGAGGAGGACTGAGGGTGTCAGACAGCAGCGTTATAAAGAAGGAGAGGACCAGAAGAACAGAAGGTGTGAGTACATCATTAAAATGCATGCTGTTTCAGTCTCTAGGAAGCCACACAGCACCTCCATTGTGTCGGCGTGTGGCCGCCACAGCGTGACGGCTCGCTCTGTTAAATTATGAATGACCGTTTGACAGCAGAGAACAGCGGCTACCCTCCAGCTACTCGCTCCTCTGCGGCGCTGCTGACAGGCCTGATTAATCCGTGACCGGGATTTGCCCTTTTTAGAACGCCGGGAAGTTGGAGGCGGGACACCGCTGCTCCTCTAATCCTATTGGATCTCATGTTTAGCCCGAGCTGGGCCTCAGACCCGGGGTTGCTGAGCGTGTCTTCACAAGCACGTGGTGACTTTGGCGTGCTAAGTGGCCAAGCGCTGCAGTCACCTTCTGCCCCTGCTTCCTGTCGCCAATTAACCGCAGACAGGCGAACACAGGAAGCAGGGACTGGCACGGCTTCAGCTGACATCACTCATTCACAGCAGCGGGGATGCTGACAGGAACACGGGCAGAAAACAGCGTATGCTCGCAGTAATCTGACGGGACCGGCAGTTTAACCTGCTATAGGTTAAAGGTGGAATAACTCTCTGTGGTGGAGTTTCAGGAGGAAGAATTTGAACTCTAAATCTCTGTTAAAGTCATGGCTTTACATTTTTGGGCAGTAATTCACTGGAACTCGAGTTGCTCCTTCAAAGGAGCATGTGTTTCAAAGTGTGTTTCAAAGTGTGTTTCAACTGCAGAGGTAATTACAGAAAAAAGCTGTTTGTGTGGCTGAAGACAAAGATCTGGAACTCTGTACTGCATGCTTTCCAGCATTAGGATCAAAAGTTGGACCACCTGAGCAGCACCTGCCGGAGCGCATGCACTGTATCCTTATCTCATAGGTCCAGGTTTGACTGTGCTCTCAGCTGTTTGCTACGCATCACCCTCCTTTTAACATCCAGTCAGAGACCAAAGAGAAAAACCTTGAAGGAGATTTATTCGGCTCATTCCCAGCTCCATGTTTTTATTCCTGGACTCCAATAGAGCAGCCCTTTGGTTCATCCTCTGTTTGCAACATTTTAGCTCCTCCCACTTTGGGCCAACATTCTTCTGACTGGCTGCCCCTCGTTAGAGAGTAAGTGGGTGGGTTTTCTAACCATATTAGACATATCGCCTCTATAACATCTTGAAGAGGCAATAGAAGAAAAAAAAACTGTTGGAAATAAAGCATTTGGACCCTGTTTTAAAACAGCGCTTTGAGAGAAAACAAACTACTTTTTATTTGCTTCCAAAAATCCAAAGCATCTAAAAAGGTTTTCTTAGTAAATATTTTTTTTTTTTAAAAACTAGGAAAATATTTACATTTCCAAATAAATATTATTATCATTAACATATCAGGACAGTAAAGAAATTTAGATCAAAATCATTTTGTCTTTGAAATGATGAAGTGAACATTTCAACGTTTAAAGCTGAGCTGGACTTTTAATAAGCAGCAGCATAAAATCCTCCACTAACTCTGCATTGTTCTGAAAGTTACAGCTTTTATCTGTAAAATCTTAAAAACAGGAGCAGCTGGAGCCTCTGCGGCGGCCGGGCGATGGAGGCGGGAAATAACAGCTGGGTGACATTTAACGGGCCACAGCGTCCCCGTGTACACGGCCGACTTTCAAAATCACAAAAGAAAAATAAATCATGTTCTTTACAGTGGAGGCTAAATAGTTATTATTAACCCTGTAATCAACACTGCTCAATTTACTTTTGATCATCAACAATCAAAAAATGATTCAGTTTTAGTTTTTGTTCAATTCTCATTAAAATTTTCTATTAACTTTGATCAAAGAGTGAGTTGATTGGTCATTGAGGTGTGATCCACATAGACGGTTTCTACCCACCGAGCCAGAAGTTCGGACATTTCCCTCGCCATTTCCTCCCTAAAAAGCACGATGTTAGGATAAACTGTTAGTATGCTGCCGAGACATTTACTACAAAATACTTCATCACCATCTTTTTCACTAAACAGGGACAGCAGGTAAGTGAAAGGAAAACAAAGAGAGGGTTAAAAATGAAGAAGAAGAAGAAGAAGAAGGAAAAACAGAAGTTGGTGTTCATGCACTTCGATTTTTAAACAGCTGAAACTACAACACGACAACACTTGTTCACACTTCTCGTAACTTCACAGATGATCAGAAACGGAGGAGAAGCTCATGCTACAGTCACGCTGTGTGCAGTGATCATGTGATCTCGATGCCTTTAAAGACCGGGAGCAGGTCTGCAACCACTCAACAGTCAGTCTGCTATTGGTCTGGAACTGAATGTGGTCATGTGATCAATAATAACTGGGATAAATCTGGGAATATCGCAAGTCTGTTGCTGTTTGCATACACAGAAATTCAATTCTACTGCTTTCACACAGGAACATAAACATCCGAGTGGAGTCTTCTGTCGTTGCACACAGCAACCATCTAAAATCCTTCTTAAACTGGTCTAAGAGTGACAAACCGGTATCGGTTGGAGACATTACTGGCTACAAGCGAAAGATCTCGTGAGAAGACGGGAGGAGCATGTGATGTAAAAACTAGCAGATCGAACATGCAGAGCTACCTGCTGGGCGACGCCGCTGAATGAAGGAGCAGCTAAAGGTAGCTTTCTGTTTGGAGACAGGTCGACTCCCATTAGGCTGAGACATCAGAGACATCAGCTTCGACCAATTCTTTGTGGTATTTTCACTCTAGTGTGACGGAGACGTTACTTTTCCTGTTTGTTACAATTAAACTTTCTTTTTGTCCACGTTATAAAAAAGGTCCCTACGGTGCCGCCCACAGCTCGGCTTTCTGACTGCAGAAGCTCTGAAGCCTGCGAGCCTGCAGACCTCCACCTTCATCTGATAATTCTTCTCATTACCAACATGATAAGCCTGTGCACGGACGACCTCGTTCACTTCAGAAACATGTATTCATTATGTCGTCTCTGGTCACACGTTTAATGGTCCGAGCCTCCTCCTGCGTGCGAGCCATTAATGACGCTCCTGTGATGTTTACACGAGTCCTTATTAGGCATTAAACGGAGGAAGGTGAAATCAGGCAGGAAGCAGCTGCTGTAGTTAAAAGAAAGCAAAAAAAGGCGCAGCGGGCGTCATTATGCGGCCGCTGAGCCATTAACTAAACGCTGCCACGCTGAGTCCAGAGGTTCAACTGGCAACAAATCAGAGGCCATGACAGTGACGCCTGCACTTCCTTCCTACTCAGGTGCCCTGGAGCCATGAGAAGATGAGCTTAGCTTAGAAAATAAACAACTTAACTTCACAGTTATTGAGCATGAAACATGATGCGGACTGCCAGTACAGCTGCTCTGAATCAAAACGCACACAGCCGACGCATTTAAGAGAATTTAAACTTCCAGAAGACAAAAGGAGAGAAACAGGAAGTCAGGTGAGAGGAATGGGAGGAAGGAGGCAAGGATGCCAAAAGAAAGGAGGTGAGGGAAAGGAAAGAGTACATGTTTAAGTTCATAACTGACACTTTAATGTCTTTCATTTGGATCTATGAGCTCTGACACAGACTGATGTGTAGAAACAACCACATACAGGGCCTTTAACTCACTCGCTCTTCTCCAGACATCTCAGGCTGTAAATCAGCTGTTTTCTCACACAGTGAGGTCAGGCGTGTTTACGCACTCACGCTCTACTGACATCCCAACTTGGTGCTTCATGCACGTCAAGCTTGTTTTTAAAATCTTGTGTTTTTAAGGGCGGTTCAGCTTTTAGTAGCCGAGACCCACTGCTGAAGGATTTATTCGCTGCTTTAACTCCCTGCACACATTCAATTTTGTGTTGTTTCATTTTTTCGCGACTGCAGATGATTCAAAATGAAGCAGCTAAGCTTCTAATGAGGTGCGAGTCACATTCACAAAAGGCTCGGTGACCACACAGGAAGTCACCGGGTGAAGCAAATGTTTACGGATGAAGTTAGAGGGTCACCTCGGCAACCGGAGCCAGGAATGTCCACAAACTGCTACCTGGACATGAAACAGAGACCTGATTTTAAACCTGAGGCGTCTGTGGATCAGCTCCACAGCTGATCGTGGCTCTTTAAACTCCATATTTGCCTCCAGGTCGCTGTGATCATCTCACAACTACTTCTCTCCTTTGCCGTTTTTGTAGGTGTTAAGTACTTAAAGAAAGACATCCTCCAAGTTTTATTCTTTTAAAGTCATATTTTTATGTCCAGATCAACCTGAGATAAAACTGATCATGGCAGCCCTGCTCAGAGGTTTCAATGTCTGCCTTTGATTCTTTTGTCTGCATGTCTGTGATGACTCTTTTCTTCAAATCTACATCTTTAACACTGATGCATGTGCAGGTTTTACTCGGTGATGTGGAGAACAGAACCCGAACAGAGAGGCCGGGTCTACGTGGCCGATCCACCCGCAGTGCAAAGCTCTGTGACGCAGCGCTCTAGGGAGGTCAAACAGTTTGATGTAGCCACTAACAAAGCCGAGTCACGGCGTGAAGCATCAATTTCAACTTTCAGAGAGACGTGTCGCTTCAGGCTAAGTGAGAAGAGTGATAGAGGCCAAGGCTACACCGAGTGCTTTATGTCTGGATTCGCCACTGTGAGCGCACGGCGGCGTCGCACGGTGCCCTGAAGCTGTCTGAGGCGTGTGGTGTGACAGGAAACCTACATGGTCAAGCTCTTGAGCTTTGGGGAGGCAGCAGCAGCGGCGGCAGCGCTGTAAACAGAGGATTACAGGATTATAACGGAGCAGCAGAGCACAACATAACAAAGCAATCAGGGAGGCGAAGGTGATTCCTTCCCCCGAGGCTCATCAGGAAATCATTCTCCTTCCAAATTGTGATCTGAGGACAGGCCTCAGATTCATCAAACTCCTGAAAGTCACACCTGAAGGAAAACTAATCTGGACTAAAGCCTGCTTTCAAATGCATCTTGATGATCTGGAGGTGAAGTAGAGGTGGGGCTAGAGAGCAGAGATTTTTGCACCTTTAAGTTTGTTTCTTTTTTTGTACAGAAGATTAAAATCACCTGAATTATCTCTCGATGTTTTATTTCATCTATGCTGCAATAACTAGCAGACTGACCTCAGCTGGCTGTGAAAGCCACTTCCAAATCAATTCTCCAGTTAACCTTTGACCTCTGATCCGTGTATGAAGGGTGACTTATTCCTGAAATGTTACTGCACTGAAAGTTAAAGTCTGAAATTGAACCACATGACTGCAGATCTTCAGCAATGAGCGACGTGTTTCTGTAAGAATCTTTGTGACCAACGTGGCAGCTTTTTTAAAATTATCCTTTAAACGTGTGAGTTCTTAAAATGTTATTATTTTGTGCATTAAAAAATGAGCTGAAGCTTCTGCTTCCCCCCCCCCCTTTGTTTGGTAATTATTAACGTTTCTTTTGATTTCTTTTATTTAAAACTGTCTAACATCAAATATAAATATCAGTATATATCAATGAAAATACACCAATATTACTTATTTATTAAAAGTAATAACACTTTTAGCGTTTCCAGGTTCATAGCTTTTGAATTATTTAATTACAGAGTATAGATCCTAGTATAGATCTAGGGGTGCATGTTTGGAGTATTTTACTTCTACTTTGTCTCTTTCTATGGCTGTAAGGTCGTAACCCTCAGAAGTCTGATAAACCTGAGCCTGGATCGAGTTTCTGGTGGGTGAGAATCAAACCTGGTGCTCATATCTGGATTTAAATGTAAGTTAATAAAAGTCACTGTGTTCAAACTGATGCATCCGTTAGCTGGAATCAGAGGGCAGAGCCGGGCTGGCAGATTGTTACAGCATGCAGAGGGTTTGTTATGGTTTGAAAGGTCAAAGGTCAGGTGTGTGGGAGTGAGGGGGTTAAATTAAAGGGTTAAGAATCGACGGGTCTTACGCTGATCGCTCTGGGGACGATGGAACTGAGGAGCCGTTACTGAGAGGAAAAAACAAACAAAAAGAAAACAAAGAAGAAGAAAATGATTAAACTCAGGATCAGAGGGAAACGATGGTTTCTCCAGGACGAGTCCGTGCGGCATTCAAAGACGTCTCCGTCCCGTGAAGACGCGTCGCAGAGGGTCTCCTTAAACTCAGGCTTACCTGCGCAGGCCCGAGTCGTTGGCCACCTCCTCGGGGATGAGCTCAGCCTCGCTCTGGGCGATCCTCAGCGCCAGCTCCCTGTCCCTCCTCTCCTGCTCCAGAACAGCCTGCCGAGCGGCCTCCTCCTCACGCTCCGCCTGCAGCTGCAGCTCCATCTCCATCTGCACACACACCGAACACACACACACGCTCTCGTTCAGTCGCAGCACACCTGGCGCATCTCCGCCGCAGTTAACATATGTTCACGACTGGAAGTGCTGCTGCAGCCAGCTTTCAGTTCACTTTCTGAACGCTCCCACTTTGTCAACCATCTGCTGGTACGAACATGTCTGCCAGCTTCGTTGCGGCACGGCTGGCGTGCGATGCTGCATCAGCGCAGGAAGGTTCAGCTGCTCATGCGTGCAAACGCTTTCAGCTGCAAAACATCAGAAAAACTGCAGCAGCACACAAAACGACTAATTGCTACGTTCACCTGGTGAGGAGACGGGACTCTTAGAGATCAGGATAGACGCCATCTGATGTCGCAGTGTGGCGACGTCAGATGGCTTGACAGGATGGAGTAAGGCAGAGGCTCATGCAGTTACAGTGCTGAAGGTAAATATGCAGCGGTGACACAAACGCTAATAGATCTCAGCTTCAGCACTTTATTCCGCTCGTGTCAGCAAACATGCCGACTTTTCATCAGAGACTTCTCTGATGAACCAGAATCCTCTGGTTGATTTTCATGGTTTCACTGCAGCTTGGAGACTAGTTTGAGAGTGTTTGCAGACCAGGTTCATACAAACTACATATGATTCTGGCAACTTGCTGGTTTTTGCAACTGATTTCACCGAGCAACCTCCAGCCACTTGCCACTGACATTGCTGATTAACATCAGCAAGCAGGATGCGAATTTCAGAGTCGTGTCATTCCGATGCTGAATAATAATGAAAAAAGTAGCATTGACAAAAACCTACAGGAAACCACTTCCTGCTCACACCAACAAACATGCTAACATTTAGGCCTTCTGGCCTTCATCACAGCTCCTCTGAAGCATCTCTGACAAATTCAGTTTCAGGTCTTCTCATCCAACATTCCCATTATTCCGGAGTTTTTCTGTGCATCTCCTGGTTTTACAATTTCTCCCAGATATCCTCCATCTGCATGAGCCTGAAACTTGCTGGAAAATGTGCCTCAGTGAGTTTTGTCTGCACAGAGTAGTGTCTGCACAGACACGCTGAGACGCTGCATTCATTCAGCTGTGTGCTGTCAAAACACAGAACGAGGAAGACAAACACGAATCGAGCTGTGTGCCGCTCTGTGGGTGCGTCAATCATAGGTTTTTTTTGTGTTCAGTTAATAATAAAAATAATAATCAGTTCAAGCTTCCCGAATGAATAACTCATTATCGAAAAGTTGTAAAAAAAAACAAACAAACAAACAAACCTACAAACAACGCCTGTTTTTAATCACAGATGATTTTCATCAAACCTGTCCGAGCTCGTCCATCAGGACACTCTGAACACGTCGGCAGGGAAACAGGATTTAGACGACACAGCATCACCAAAATAATTTCACACATCGCCGGCCTCCTGCAGGTTAGCACAGGATTGCAATTTTATTGAAAAACTATGGAAAAATATTTAAATCATTAAAATAATGACTGCTTTTAGTCTTTTTGCTGTAACATCAAACCAAAGCAAATTATGTTGACCTTTACAGAGTTTATTTCGATTCCTTAGTGCATGTTCATCTTTTTTAGCTCCTTTTATTTCTAATAATCAAAATAAATTTTATTTTGTCATCATTGATTCACTGAAGCCATTCTGACGTATGTGTGGGCAAACCTTCCCAATCTTCAGAATAAAGAAAGATGATGTCATCTTCTCCTGATTGGACGATCATTATGAAGCTCTGATTAATCAGGCAGCCGTTCGTATCACTGCACAATGCTAACACAGTCCAATAATCACCGAATGAGCTGCTCATTAAAGCAGGAACAAGGGGTGGCGAACGAGGGGCGGCGCTAAACTGGATGATTAATGCTCTGGCTTCCATTTTCCATCATGAATCAAGGGAAACGGCTCCTTGACTGGCTAAGGAAGGTCGCAGGGATCTGAAGGCCATCACTTCATTAACTGAAGTTCATCTTTCTTTAAGATGTGGACGAATTCTTTAGCCTTCACGTTTTCCATGCGGTAACTCCTCTGTGAGGCCACGTCGCAGTGCAGCAAGTTTTGTTCACATGAGACCACTCCGGGAATATTCTGAGTTTAGCAGCTGCAGATTTATCCGCAATACTCATTTGAAATTTATTACACAGCTGCCTTTTGTTTATGTTCCTGCTTCATGGTGAAACATTTGAAGGTTTGGAGCCAACAGACCACAGCTGGATTTTTAAATGCGAATTCAGTCGTCAGCTGCTTCAGGGACAAGTTGGATTTAAGAGTACTGTAAAAATCAGCTTCAGCCTCTGTGGATCGTTTCCTCCTTTCTCACAAACCTGCAAGGGTTTGCTTTTTAGAAATCACCTATTTAAACCACACACATCATCAGTGCCCGGCTCATATTGCATATAAGCAACAACAAAAACAGAAGAAAAGTCTGTGACTGTGTTTATGATGTGTGTGTATGAAAAAACACAGATTTAAGTCAACTTACTTCTGATTGGCTGCCCGTCATAAAAACAAGGTTTGAACAGCAGGTGGGTGGAGTTTCAAGATCACTGCCTGTACAATGACACATCTGATTTGATCCACTGGGGATCCACTGCATGCAAGTTTGACCAAATTCTGACCAACAGCGGAGGAGCAGCAGTGATCTCTGTGGACGGAGGACGGACGCCTCGCTGTGTCGAGCTCATCGATCCTTTGACCAGCTGAGCTAAGAACAGTGACACAATGGCTGAATGAGGAGCAGAATGTGCTGCAGTAAGACCCCTTTGATTTGACTCTGATGGGTCATGTGATCTCAGCATGTCACTTCTAAACGCTTCACATTCAGATTGACGACCCAAACTTCACGGCGTAGAGGATCCTGAGGCCCGATAAACTCGGCAGCGCGACTCGTGAAAATTCTGAGCATTGCGAACGTGCTGAGAAGCCCAACAGCTCCAAGTTGATGGAAGTGCAGCAGATTTGTGGGTAACCCAGCCCAGGGGATCTGGGCTGCCGGCCAACAGCTTTGATCTGAACAGCTGCCGAAATCTGCACTTGATCCGGGCCAGGTCGACGCCCCGGGGACCCGAAGGCACCAGCCGCCACGGCAACAGATGGGCCAAACGGAGATGTGCTAAATGATAAACATAAAACCCTGTGACCATAAAACCCGCTATCTCTCTCTCTCTCACACACACACACACACACACACACACACACACACACACACACACACACACAGCATCTGCAGAGAGCGCGAGTATCAAAGAGCAGATTTTGAAACCTGCACAGTCTGAAAACACATGACGCACATGTTTGAAGCGTCACAGCCGCCTTTAAAAGCACGTCTGACCAAGTCAAGTGACAGGTATCTGCTGGGATTAAATCAGGATTTCTCCCACTGGTCTCCTGCAACTTCCTGTCTGCTTCACCAGAGTCTGTAACCCACTTTATTCTCATTCATATTCAAAACCAAAAGAACGACCACGACACATCGGCTGCTTTTTCTTCTTTTAAGTTTTAGTGCTTCTTCTCTTCATCCTGTATGCTGCATGCAGGGTTTTGTAAAGCGTTGTGGGACGTGTGCGTGTTAGCAATGTTACATAAACACATTCTGGTTTCTTGCTCTGCTTCGGAACATCAAATCTTTATGATTTCAACAAAGCTACACCCTGATAAATGTTTTAATCTACAAAAGGCTATTCAGCTTGGTACAAGCGTGGCTCTTCATGCAGTATTGCCTCATTCTGCAGCTGTTTGCTCACACAGAGCGACTTCAGCTCCTCTGCTAACTCGACAAAAACCACAGCTGTTAAGTCCGTCCAATAATTAATGCTGCAGTTCATTTAGTGGCCACTTGGGGCTCCAGAAGTGACTCTGAAGCAGTTAAATGTACTAATAAACCATCCAGGAAGTCTGTGCTCGAGGATATTATCTTTTACCAATCAACAGATATCTCTGCGACGCAGTGTGTCCACCAAGTTAACCAGCCTTAGCTGATAACTTCACCCTCTCACTCAAACATAGTCATTAATGGTTTCATATGTCAACGGCCATTCAGAGTGTGTGCTTTTGTGACAGAGTGGTGGTGACAAGGAGCCAAAGATAAAAATCCGCTATTTGCAGACAACCAGGTTCATCACTTGCTTTTTTAATGCTTTAATAATTAACACGTCAGCCTCAATTGCACCTAAAGTGGGACTAAACTAGCTCGAAACCCCTAAAACTCCTAAACCGCGCTGAGCTGATCTTAGTGAACATCCTCTCTGTGACACAGAAAGACAGAGAGGACCATTAGAGAGTGTGATGGAGAGAGATGAAGAGCGGCCGGGTTCCTGCCAGAACAGCCAGAAATGGATTAGAGGAAAAACATATCTCCACAGGAGGAATTTCAGGGCTGTAACTCAGCCGTCCTGCAAAGACAAATCTGTGAGGATGGAGACACAAAAGCTCAGAGCGCACAAAACTGCTTCACATCAAGCCCGGCTGCTGGCCTTAATTTAAACCGGAGGAACATTATCTGCAGACATTTGGTGAGTACACCCGAAACATAACCTTGTTTCTCTCTCACAGAGAGTAACTTAAGGTTATGTACAGTATATAACCCCGTTCTCTGAGTAGCATGAGTGAGTGTCTCACTATGGGAACGCCTCCTGCGTGACCTCATCAGAAGCTCAAATACCATTACGCCAGCCCTTACAGGCTGGCTAGGTGACGCCCATGTCAGGAGGGGCCAGTGCCTCCCTATATAATAGGCTGACATAGCGTCAGATGTCATTCAAAACAAGCCCACCTCTTCCTCGCTTCCATAGCAAGGAGGGCGGTCTGGTGAGACACTCACTCATGCTACTCAGGGAACCGGGTTATATACATAACCTTAAGTTCTCTTTCATAGCATGAGTGAGTGTCTCACTATGGGAGAAATACTGACTCCCGGATTGCCAGACATACCTGTTAAGAAGACAACTGTCCCCAACAGCACTTCACAGGGGAGAGGCCCCCACCCGGGGAGAACCTGCACTGAGGACTGAATGTGCTAGGTTAGGTGCTGTCACATCTAACCTGTAAAACCTAGCAAATGTATGAGGTGAGGTCCAGCATGCAGCTGCACACACCTCCTGAATAGAAACTCCCCTAAAGAGAGCCCATGAGGTTGCCAGACCTCTAGTGGAATGCGCACGTAAGCCAGCAGGGGGCTGAAGGCCCCTGCTAGTATAGGCCAAGGCAATTGCCCCTACTATCCAATGGGAGAGGCGCTGTTTAGACACAGGCTTTCCCATATGTGGTTTAGCCCAGGACACGAACAGCTGGTCACTTTGTCTGACACTCTGGGTTCGGTCCATGTAAATGCGCAGAGCACGGACTGGACACAAAGTATGTAGCCGCTGTTGCTCCTCTGAGGAGAAAGGCAGTGGGCAAAAAGCCGGCAGTTCTATAGGGGAACATGTGCCGACAGCCTTCGGGACAAAGGCAGGGTTGAGCCGCATACTGACCCTCGTATTATCCGAGGAGAACTGAATGCATGACTGATGCACTGAGAGAGCGTGGATCTCTCCCACATGATTAGCAGAAGCTAAAGCAATTAATAGAGCTGTCTTCAAGGACAGACATTTTAACTCAACCTGTTCCAGGGGTTCAAATGGGCAACAGGAGAGCACAGCCAATACTGTGGGAAGGTCCCACGATGGAGCCAACGGCCTAGACGTAGGCAATTTACGCCGTGCACCCTTCATGAAACGGCATATTAAGGGATGCTGGCCAACAGTCTTCCCCTCAAAACCAATATGGCAGGCCGAAATTGCTGCCAAATACACCTTGATGGTGGAGAAGGCTTTACCCTTATCAGTCAGGGCCTGAAGAAATGACAGAATCACAGCCACAGAGCACTGAAAAAGGGATGGCCTGTGATTCTAAGCACCAGCTTTCAAACACACGCCACTTGTGCTCATATAGCGTCCTAGTAGACGATGCTCTAGAGCACCGAATAGTATCGATAACACTATGAGGGAGCCCCACCGTGTTCAGGTTAAACCACTCATGGGCCAAGCCCATAGAGCTAGCCTCTCTGGGTGGGGGTGGAATATTTCCCCCTGTGCCTGAGACAGGAGGTCTCTGCGTAGTGGTAACGGCCAAGGTGGGCCGCACAGCTGCTGAAAAATCTCCGCCAGCCAGTGTTTCCCTGGCCAGTGCGGGGCTGTCAGGATCATATAGTGACTTCTCTCCCTCACTCTGGCCAGAGTTGGAGAAATGAGGGCCACTGGGGGAAAAGCATAGAGGAGGGTTCTCGGCCACTCGTGAGCTAGAGCATCCACCCCGAGTGGAGCTCTCTGATCGTGCAGCGAGTAAAACAGGGGACACTGAGCATTCTCCCTGGATGCATAAATGTCCACGGTCGCCTGACCGAATCGCAGCCAGATCTGCTTCACCACCTCTGGGTGAAGCTTCCAGTCCCCATACAGCGGGTTGCCCCTGGAGAGAAGATCTGCTCCAAAGTTCAAGCTCGGCCCTGGCGTTGCGGCAAAATCATCGGGCATCTCAGTTTCTCCTTGCGCCGCAGCAGCCTCACATAGCAAAGGGTCGCCGCCCAACAGGTTAGCCTGGCGAGCTAGCCTGCGGCGGAGTAGTTTGCTTGGGAAAGCCGCGCAGTGGATACAGTCGTGTGCAGGTGTCAAGGCAGCCTGAGCGTGAGATAAACCCAGGCATGCCGCACACACGGGGTGTGTATCTCAGGTAGAAATCTTCTTGCCGCAAGGACAAAGTTTTGCAACTTCGTTGGCCGTCGTAGCCATGGTTAGCTAGAGGGTCGCGCACGTTAGCGAGACTGACACCGAGTGCGGAGAATATTGCTATTCCTCGCTAACGTGGGGTGAAAAGTGTTGCTACTTTTCTACAGGTATTGCTACCTAATGTGTAAAACCGCTAGCGTCGAAGGGTATTGCTACCTGATGGTGAAGCTAGGGGTACCTTTATTAGCAAAGTGTTGCTACTTCGCTGGGTGAAAGTATTGTTACTTGGCACCCGCACTAGCCACAGAACAGTATTGCTACTGCTTGTATGCGAGTGGACAACTGAAAAGCTGGGAACAAAGCGCCCGGCGACCGAGTTGTTCACTCGAATCTGTGGGCAGTTTAGATTTAGCACCCAACAGCACAGTTGTCTACAGGTGAGAGGCGAGAAGAGGATTTTGAATGACATCTGACGCTATGTCAGCCTATTATATAGGGACGCACTGGCCCCTCCTGACATAGGCGTCACCTAGCCAGCCTGTAAGGGCTTCTGATGAGGTCACGCAGGAGGCGTTCCCATAGTGAGACACGAAACGAATGCTATGAAAGAGAACTGCTAAGGAGTTTGAGATCAGGTGGGATTCGAAATGATGATGGTGATAGCGTGACTTCAGTTCATCTCGTGTAATAGTTTAATTATCGGGAGGGTTCAGTTACACTCTACAGACCAGCTTTGCATCACAGCAAGAGCTGTTTTAGCCCCTCCCACTTTAAGTCAACTTTCTTTTGATTGGCTGCCCCTCTTAAAACAGGAGTTGGGCCAGCCCTTTGGGCAGACGATCACTATGTTAGGGATATGCCCTCTGTATGACATCACACAGGGACAAGAGTAGAAAAAAACAGAGTGAATCTGAGCATTCAGCTCTCACACATTATTTGTACACGCACTGACCATTACTGAGACTCTGGCCAAGTTCAACACAAGTACAGTTCTAGTTGTTAAAAACAAAACCATCTACCAAAAAAAAAAAAAAAAAAATATGACGCGCATATGACGCAGTACTCTGTGACAGTGGGGAGGAAAAACATAACAGGAAGAGCCCCCAAGAGAGCAAGGCAGGGGCAGCCAGTCTGCTGGTGGGGCTCCACCAGAGGAGGATGACATAGAAAAACTGGTCCTTTTATTGTGATAAGACATAACATTCGCTGATTTTCTTTCATCACAACAAAATCTGAACAACATTTTCCTGTTGAACTCTGAACGTGTTTTTGTAACCATAGAAACAATAGCAGTTTCACATGGCCGCAGGTTGAACTGAAATGATGTGTTTAGACTGCACGGTCGGCACCGCTGCCTCACAGCTCGAGGGCCGTGGGTTCAAACCTGGGAAGGGCCCCTCTGTGGGGAGACTTCCTGCAGGATTTTCATATCAAAAAAGATTTCATTTTTTAAAAAAAGGTAGTTTCATTGCTTTTTGTAACACAGAAATGTCCGAGGTGGAACTGAGCACTGATTTAGGAACGTATTTATGTGAAGATATCTGCACATGTTGCACTTTGTTGTGTTTGGTGTTGTTTTATACGAATGAATAAAGGTTAAAAAAAAAAGTTTAATTAAGTTTAATTGTGCCTTTCTGTAAAAAAAGGACACATTTTGTAAATAGAAACAAACTGAATCCACATCCTCTTGTTGTACCAAAATGCAGAGTGTTACTCATCACGGTGTCACACTCTGGATTGTATTTAAAATAGAAGACCTAAACTCAAACAGCCCCTTTTATAGACGCTGGACTGTTAACCTGCAGGATCCGTCCTGTAAATCATCTGCAAACAGCTTCCAGGGTTAAAAACAACAAAGGCCAACAGAGCGCTGCTGTCTGCGGGCCGCCTGCAGCGACACACACCCACCTGAATCCGCCTCTCCTCCTCCTCCCTCCTCTTCCTTTCCTCCTCTTCCTGCTTCCTCTTCAGCTCCATCTCTGCTTTCCTGCAGAGACGAAACACAAAAGCAGAGATGAGGACAGAAAAGCGGAAAGAAGGCAAAACACATTTGGAAGAAGAGTAAAACATCAGAGAAAAGGAGACAGAGGGGGACTGAAAGTGCAGCGCTTCTCTGTGTGTTCACCGTTATGTTGAGCGCTCTCAGACGATGATGAATCACTCATAAATACTCAGATCTGAATGTAATCAGTGAAATATTTGCGGTGTGACACCAACTGCCTCTTGTTCTGTTTGTCTCCAGAAGAACCAGACCTGCTTTCCTAGCTTTCATTCTGACGCTTTAGTAACAGGAGTAAAAACAGCTTGGAGGGGGATGAACGCGAACACAACCAACACATTTTCAGCAGCGCCGACTCAGCCCAGTAAAGACCATTATTAACAGCTGAAACCTTTTACCAGAGGCATGATTTTCTAACACAATTAATATTTTCCTTTAAAAGGCTTTTTGAAACGTTTGTTGCAGGTTACTGATCTGTAAAAACATGTGGCTTTGTAGCTAATGTGCTTTTAGCCCCATATTTGGTCTCCACCAACCACGTGTTATCAGAAGTTGAAGTTAGCACAGCAAAGAAAGGTGCATCATTTCAAACCCTACTTTCATTTAAACTCGGTTACACGTCAAAAAGTTGCTCTGTACAAAAATCTGATTTAAAGTGGAAAAACAGACCTGTTGGCTTCTCTTCGTTTCCTGTCACACATTTTTATTAAACAAGGTTTCGATGATAAGTGCACATAAATCCTGAGAGCCAGACACAGAAGCCCCACCCACCTCCTTCTTTATGAGGGGCAGCCAATCAGAAGAAAGTTTTCTTGACAAACTGAGGAGCAAGAATGGCTCGTTTCATATAATTTTCAGTAAAAGTTAAAGGAGGATTATTCTAAGCTGTGAATCATGCAAAGCTACTCCAGCAGAGTCATTAAAAAACACGGAGCTGGAAATGAGCAGACTAATCCCACAAAACTAATTTCATTTTGGGTTTTTAGTTGACATAAAATGTTTGATCTTTGTAAAATGATAAAAGAGTGATGCTGCGTTACTGGATGAGACGTCAGCTCGTTAGACTTCCTGTGAGAGCTCACCTAGCTGAGGTGGCCTTTAGGCAACTGCAAACCTCTCTCCTCTCTCATTAAAAGACAAAGAATCCCAGTGTAAGACTTTATAATTACTTAAACAAGACACACAGTCAAGCATATATTTTAAAAACCTCATTTACGAAGGTGGAATGAAGAATATTCAGAAATCTGCTGATTGATGGATTCCTCCTGTCGTCTCTCAGCCATTTTATTTCTGTTGTGCGCTCACTGGAAAACTATCAGACCACCAAAGCTCTGACTTTTGGCCTCTTTACTACCTCCAGCTTGTCCTCGCCAGTCATGCAGGACCTGAAGGTTATTGTGCTGCTGCACACGCTGCGGGCCGCCGTAAATAGAAACGTCATCTTTGTGTGGAAAAAGATGACAGAACACGGGGCTCCAAGTCGTCGTCAAGACAGAAGTTTCTGGTTTCTCATTACCTGGCAGGCTTTAGTGTGTTCTTACAGATACTACAAGGATTAAGGCTGCACAAGATCTGCTCTCATGACCTTCAGTCTGCGACCTTCAGGTGAATCCTGGGGGTTCATAACCAGAGGAGGAGAATAAAGTGAAGGGAAGAGGGCCATAAAATTCAGGCTGTCGTCTCTAATGTCTTATATTAGCAGCTAGTGGTTTGTGACGAACACAATGGCCCCCATCAGTCCTCCTAAAAGACCTTCCATCCCGCTGCAAGCAGCAATGTGGAGGACAAACCCGTGTGAGGAATACGAATGCCACAATCTAGGCGGGAAATGAAATTTTCCATGTAAGCGATTGCGGGTGTGTGATGGATTCAAATCCTCAGCAGTCTCTTAAACATCAAAAAGGCCCGAGGAAAAGGATAAAGAGTGAAAACGGAGCGCGGGAGGCGGCGCGTCGTCACTCCTGGATGGTTTTCTCAGCCTTACAAATACGACGCTCTGAGGAGGGCTGTAACAGCTCTGATTGGACAGCAGTCTGAGGTTACCTGCACAGCCAGAGCCCCCAAAGGCAGGTTTAGTGCTGAAGCTGGGCTGTTGAACTTTGAATGAACTTTTTAAGGAGGACGGCTGGTATTTGCGCACGTTAAGCAGATAAAACAGAGCTTGTAGTTTCTTTTCTAAAGGACGTGTGATATTCAGGTGGAGCTGTTAAAGCCCGGCTGATGTTTAAAGATAACTGTATAATATGAAGTTTGTTTTTTGTATTTTATCTTTACAGACCATGCAAATACAGCAGAACTTTGAAAGAGTTCACTCCAAATTTATGCCCTTTTCCTTTTGGTTCAAGTTTTGGAGATTTCAGAGGTAGACGTGTCTGCCTTCACTTCAGTATAATGGAAGCAGCCGGCCCTCGCCCCGTGATCTGGTCCAAAGTGCTTCAGCTGAAAGAAAACTGGAGCTTTCAGAGCTGAAGAAGGCTCTCAGCTGAGGGGTGAAACATCTTCAGAAAGCTAAAAGAAGTCCATCTGCCTTCGACCTGGATCACTGAGACGCTGCACGGACATACTTATATATTATACAGATTTTGTTTCTTAATTTCAATTTTATGCTCTGTGCTTTAAGCTAAGATGTGCTTGTGTGTGTGGTGTGCTTTTATATTGCGGATGAAAGAGACTGGTGCATGAGCCGAGGTCGGCATGGAAACCACCGTGACATGTGACTGATGTTCGTAACCACAGTGAATCTGGGAAACTCCGGCACAGAGCAACTTACGTTAGACATCTCTGTGTTTGCACAGTGATGCTTGTGCAGGACACATGTCAGAATAGAAGAGTCTGAAAACATGCTTATTCACATTTTGTGCTTCTGTGACATTAAATGAGCTTTTAGCTTTTAGAGGTACATATAAAGACAGTGCTGCTGAGCTGATTGAAAGCTTACCAAGAAAAAAGAGTGACTTCCTTATAAATAAGGAGCTAGATGTAATTTCCAGCTGTTTACTGAGAGAGAGAGAGTGTGTGTGTGTGTGAAGATGGCGTGCAACACCACACACAATGTGGTAAGCTGTGAAGACTGAGAATAAAACATGACCCAGAAATCCTCTGTTGAAAAACATTAAATGAAGGAACTATTTTCTTTCTCTTGTTGACAAGAGATGTTGCTGAATCTAAGCAGATCTTCTAAAGCCCCACCCACTAGGCGCATCACACACAGGAAGACCGAATCTTACTTCCTGTGTGGACTTTCCCACTTATTGTCAAATGATGCAAAAAACACTTTTTTTAAGCAGTTATTGATGACCTCACAGAGGGGCTGTCAGTGCTGCGCTTTGAAATGTTGGTCTGTGTTTTAGTGGGTTGTTAGGTGGTTGCTAGGCAGCATTAATAACCTGTGTGTGTGTTTGTGAAACCATGGTTTTCAGGAGATGCATAAACTCTACAAGTGGGTCACTTTAGCACATTGCTTGGTGGTTGCTAAGCAATCTGATGACATGATAGCATCGGATACAGGGGCCTGAGATGCACCTGTGTGCCAGTGTTGTTTGATGGTGTAGGAGGAGTTGGCGTGTTTTATAAGACAGGCTCTCACAAACCTGAGACTAATTCTGCAGAGCTGTGGTGTTAAAGTGAAGCTAAGAAACCCTACATCATTCACAGAAGGTGGTGGAGAACAAAAACTGAGCTAAAACAGAGACTCGGAAACAGCAGGAAACTAAAACAACTCCAGCTGGACACAAAAGGCTCCTGAAACCTGAAACCAACATGAAGCCAATCGATATAAACATGTAAATTTAGCTTTTGCCATTTTTAAATCCTCAGGTATTAAAGGTTACATGGCAACGCAGCCCAGTAACAGTAAAAACTTCCAACAAAATCTTCATCCTGAAGGCATCATCTCTTAAATCCTTTCAATGACCTGCTGTATTTATGGACAGGAATTACACTCACACATATACATACACACACATGCACACACACAGATACACACACACACACACACACACACACTGCTGTGGTAAACGCTGCTGTAAATCTGTGCTGAGCCGTCTGAGTGTGTTTGTCACTTCTACGAGTGCCTCTCCACGTTTTGGCTGCGACAACGAAGCAAAAGTATTTCAGTGAAGAGACCAGAAACATTCGAGTACTCCAACTTTAAACCCCCCCGTCCCACTTACAGCCGTCTATCCTCCTCCTCCTGCTTGCGGCGCTGCTCCTCCTCCTCCCTTCGCTTCCGCTCTCTATCCATCTCCTCCTGGATGCGTCGCAGCCGCTCGCGCTCCTCCTCCTCCTTCTTCTTCTTCTGCATCTCGGTCAGCAGCTTCTCTGACCGGGTCACCAGGCCCTTGTACTCGTGGTCGATGTCGATGCGGCCCATTATGGTGGTCTACAAGGCACAAAAACAAGGTTGCACTTACAGTCAGGTCTCACAAAAGGAAGCACCGATCCCAATATCTGGACGGTGCGGATTCAAAGCACTGGATGGAGAATCTGTGCAGGCTGATCTGTTTCACTGCATCACGCATGTGAAATGCAGTTATGATCCACCCTCCACCCTCATCTCCAGCCACAAGATACGAATAGTGACCGAGCTTCCTCTGAAGGGAGCCTTAGAGACAGGGCGAAGAGCTCGGTTGATGCCTCCTGGACGTTTCATGCATATCCAGCTGGAAGGAGGCCTGGGCAGACCAGGACATGCTGAGTAGGTGGGCTTAGACCCCTGGCCCCGTTTATGTTTCTGTGCTGAGCCGGTGGTCGTGTAGGCCACATCTGATATCTGTGATCACAGAGTGAAGAAGCCTGCCTTTAAGTCTCTGCCAGGGCTACAAAAACTCCCTCGGAAGCGTCGGTATTCTCACAGTTCACCGTCACAGCGTGTTCAGGTGTCATCGGGGCACGATCTGACATTTGACAAACACGGGGCGGGGCGGTCGTGTAAACCAGAGGAGGGAAACGCGTTGGAGTCTCAGGATGATGAATATTTATGTGCATCTGCTGTTAACAATGTTCCCTCTAAGCTGTGCGCGTGCGCAATTGCGCACTGCTGGTCTCTGAGCACAGAACATCTGCGTTGCGCACAAAAAAAATCTAACCTGAATTGAAATAAAAATTAACACTTTAACAATTCTGTTTTGCAGTGTTAGTCAGTAAGTGACTGGCTGCTGTATGGGATTAGAACGATGCCACCTTATCCCATAGTCCAGCCAATGATGGATTCACATTCGTATATACGCAGCTAATCAACATCGTTGGCAGGCTATGACAGCGTCCTTATGTGCCGACACCAGTGTTTTAGCTGGCAAAGCGGCGTGGCTGACGTTAATGACAACGTGTACAACCATTGGAGATGTGAGCAGGACAGACGGAACAATTGATGGAAAAAGTGTGGACTTTATACCAGTTTTTAAATTGTGTTGATAGGCCACGTAAAACCAGAGTTATGATAAAAATATGCAATGTTTGGTTTTCTTCCTGAATACTATCGTTGTTTATATTTACTGGGGAAGAAACGGTAAAAACGGCGTTTTATAAGAAAAACCACCTGCTGAGCAAAAACAAAACAAAACCCTACCCTTTCCTATTGGTGAAAAATGTACCATGTCGACCAATCAAAAAATGATATGGCAACATGGCATTTAGTTGTTTAGGAAGGGGGAAGTTTTAGGAGTGACGGCTGTTTTGAGATGTGAGAGATTTGGACGTTTAGCGAAATCTTGTGTAGTTAGTGTGTAGTGTAGTCAATAGTTTTGTTGTGTGTGCAGAACAATGAGGCGACTGCTGAATGTTACAGGTGTTACAGGAGTGATACATCTCCTGTTGTCAGGCCTGCAGGTATCAGGCTGTTGTTCTCCTTCATCTCATAGTGGACAGAAATTATTTTTGGAGTGGCACAAATAATTTGTGTGGCATCAGATTTGATGCAGAACAGCTGATTGTTCTGTAAATAGTTTGAAATGTTTATTAAAAACGCCTTGGCTGCATTTTTAGGTAAACAGCTGCAAAAATATGTTTGTTTGCAAACGATACTTTTTGAAGAAGTAAGCTATATAATTAATTGCCCAACATTGGTATTATTTACTGTATTTTGCAGACAGAGTTACAGGACTCTCTCCCAGACCACAGACTCATACATAAACAAATCAGAGCTTTATTAAAAAAAAAAAAAATAAGGTTGTGTTTTCAAAATTGGAGTTCAAGTTATTTTTACTTCCAATAGTGTTAACATACTACACAGGTCATGAACAAGATTTTTTTTATTTTCATTGTAAGTGGGCTAAAGCAGTTAATTAAAAGTAGTCTAACATAAATGTAAATGCTGTAATTTGATTATTTTAATAAACCATGTAACTTGGATGGATTCGATGCTGGCGTGACCACAGTGCACACGTCTGCTGTTGCTCACAGTGGTCCAAGGGACCGCTCAGGGAGTTTGTGTGTTCACTCAGACACATGAAAAATTAGAGGGAACATTGGCTGTCACCGCACCACTTTTCCTCCAACTAGCAGTCACTCCACAACAAAGCTGCGGGGCGGAGTCTGAAGTGACGGGAGCCTTTCAGTCAGACTTCCTCCGCCGGTGTTTGTCCCTCTTATCTCGACACATACCGCGGTGAACACCTGTCAGCCTCCCACCTGTCAGCCTCCCACCTGTCAGCCTCACGCCTCCACCACTTCCCTCCAGTAAGAAAAGTGACAGGGAAGCTACGGTGTGCTAAATTATGGAAATTTAAAAAAAAAAAGAAAAAAAATCCACAGCGGCACGTTCAGGATTTATGACATCCACGGGTAAGATTATCTTAGAAGAGGAGGTGACGTTACAGTCAGACAAAGCACACCGTTTAATCCAGTTTAACAGGAAATACCATTATGACAGTGAGAGGGTCGCTTTAGAGGCTGAGTGCCTGTGAATCAACGAGATAACCAGATAAAATTCCTCAAATCACATTCAATCATTCAATCAAAGACTCTTTTTAAAACAAATTTGCAAGCATTTATCTAAGAAAAAATATGGAAATTTACAAAAAAAGATAATTTTTGTTCCAAATTTGCAAACTTTTTTTCTCATAAATGTTGTATACATTTCATTTCTCATAAACATGGCACTTTTTCAGTGCGCGGTCAAACTATGCACCACACCCACCTTGATTTTGACTATCAGGGTGTCGATGGCAGCGTCCAGCTCCCGGACCTGTTTGCTCATCTCCTGCTTGCCCTCCTTGAGCCCGCCCACCACCTCGTTGAAGCGGTCCATCCTCTTCTTCAGGTTACGCACCTTGACTAACCCGTCGATCCTGCCACACAAACACAAGACCTCAGTAATGAAAAGCATCAGAGGGAGAGAGCGCCGCCGGGGGGCTCGTTAACAGCGGGCAGCCGTTAAACGCTGGTAATCTCGTCACCTGGCAGTCAGCGAAGCACCGTCAGCTCTGCTGCAGAGCTCGCTAATTACTCGCAGAATAATCTCAATCACAGTTTGGGCTTCAACACTTGATTAGTTTCTCTGATGACGCGCTGTTTAACGCTCACACTCGCCTGCATCTGATCAGCTCTTCATTTTAATCACACTTAAACTGCATCTTTTTACTCAAGAGAGGAGTTTGGTTGAAAATCACGTGTCACCACTTTACTCGATATTTTAATCAGGTGTGTGCAGCATGATTCATGGATGCAGGTGTGTAAAGTCTTGTTCAGGACTTGGATGCCTGGGCTTCACGCGATGACCGAAACCATATTTATGACGTGCCAGACTTGGACTTTGTGCCACCTCCACTTTCACGATGCTCATTTCATGCTTGTCACCTTGTCATGTTGCTTCGCTCAATCTGAATTTGTGCCCAAACTCTTCCCGCCGGTCATCAGCGCACCCCCACCCAGCCTCTGTAATCACACTCTCCAGCACATCCTGCAGCGAGGGACGCAGCGTGGAGCGGCAGGTTGTTTATCGGCGAGAGATTGGTGGTAATAAGCAGAGCTGAAGCATCACAGAGCAGCCGTCTCCGAGGGAAACGCAACACCGTGGACGTGAAAGAGGCCGATAGCGAAGAGAAAGCATGAGGAGCAACAAGTGAGCATGAGGGGTGTGTGAGCATAAAGAGGAAGAGGGAGATGAAGAAAATAATAAAGAGGTAGAGATGAAGAAGAAAAGAGAAAGGGGGGTAAACTTCGTGAGCAGGAGAGAGAGGAGCTGAGGAATTAAGAACAATAAATGGATGAAAATGGGAGGAGAGAGAAGGACAAAGATAAGGAAAGAAAAGGAGAAGTGAGGAACAAAGGAAAGAAAGAAGGAAACCCACCGTGGTTTGTGTTTCTTCATGCAGAGCCACATCCGGACCGTCTTCTGCATCTGGATGCAGGCGCTGGTTCGATACAGGATCTTGTTCTTCACTGTGACAAACAGAAGAAAAGAAGCAGAACGAGATGGGAACTTTAACCTCAGAGCTGAAAGCAGCGAGGTCACAGTCTGCACCACGAGACCAAAACAACCCGACTTCAGCATCCTGTAGGAAACCAGGGATCATTCAGAATCCCAAAGTGCGGTTGGTTTATCCAGTCATTACCTCATTGGCTAACGACCTATTAGTCACGACTTCACACCACTGTGATTTATGGGCTTTGTGCTTTTATTCCCAAGAAGTCTCACAGCAGGTATCTCCTCATGTTTGATCTGGCAGATTTCTGCACCGGACGATAAAACTCTGAAGTGATTTGCGTTTCCTCCTGTTAGAAAAATGTGCAAACCTCTACACTACAAGAGTATAAGTTCGACGATAATTAAATAAATTAACTTCCTGTTTTATTCAGCGGGACATTAAACTACAGAATGCGAAACAACTCGACTTATTTCTGCCAGCCAGAGTCGTCGCCCCCTGCTGGCAATAAAGGTCTTAAATAATCAGGCTCCATCTCAAAGAGCTCATAGCACCGCTCACCTGGAGAGAGCACTCAGACTGCTGGTTTACTCCTTACTAGGATAGCTAAAAGTCTTTTGCAAAACAACCCTGAGCCCGGGTCTGTTTGAGGTTTCTTCCTGTCAAAAGGAAGTTTTTCTTTGCCACTGTCACCAAGTGCTTGCTCATAGGGACTGATTCTTGAGGCTTTCTCTGTATTATTGTCTTGACCTGACACTATAAAGCACCTTGCTGTAATTTAGGGCTATATAAATAACACTGAACTGAATCTATTGTAGTAAAGTTTCACTATAGACCTTTTGCCGTCCCCGTCTTGGTGTTATGAAAGCAGACAGGACCTGGCACGCACCACAAGGTAAGCCTTCCCTAAAACACACATGGATTTCGTATCTATTTGGGTATAAAACATCAGATTTGTTTTATCCAAAAGACCTGAAATGTGAGACCGAGGCCTCAGATCAGCAGAGCTGAGGGTCATCTTCCTGGAGACGCAGATCCAGAAGCTAGGTCCAGACTATGCGAGGTACAGGTCTGGTCAAAGCCAGCAGGAAGCTTTCTTTTCTGTCTCATAGTTCAGGAGTAAATAATAGAAAACCTAGAGTAAGTTTACAGACTTTGTCCTGATAAGAAACCTTGTTCCGCTGAATTCCTACAGATCGGTTTAATTTGAGGTGAGCTGCTCTCTGATGCGGTTTACCTTCTGTTGTTTGCAGAAATTCACGATTTCTTCACAGAGAAACATCATTTGTGATTCAGACCCACCCGTCTCCAAGTCTGTGACAGCACCGGCGCTTCTCCGTCCTCCCAATGAAGGAAGTTTGGATTGAATTGAAGTGAGAAAATTAAAGCGAGAGAGAGCGAGAGGAGGGGTTACGAGGGAGTCCCGAGGAGATGAAGTGTGAAAGATAAATAGAGACAGAGATCAATAACATCTCTGCTCGCTGCCAAATTCGTTTCATCTTGTTATGACCTCAGAATATGTAACTTCTACACTGTCAATAACAGGATGATGAATTAATGACTTTGCATTTAGAGAGCAGAGGACACCGGGCGCTCCTGCAGCCCACGAGTCAAAGTATTGTCTAACAGTTACGGCTGAAACATCCCCACGCCTCCTGGATCCATTTTTAATGGGATGGGTGATGTGCTTGGGTAGTTTTTGCAAATAAAGCTCGATCGATATGGAGAAGGAGAGAGAGAGAAACCCAAAAACGGAGAAGAGCAGGATAAATGGAGACGGACACAGACAGAGAGGCAGTGACCGACACTGCAGTAATAAAAACCAGCAGACAGACGGACCGCTCCTCCAACAGCTCAACCCCACATTATCACAGCAGCCTCTGCTGCACATAAACAGCCAGTGGTTTGTTTTCCCTGCTCCGTGCACCTCCTGTTTGCGCGACGGGGCTCCAAACACATCTTCCTGCACTACACTGCGAGCTAAATGAGCAAGAGTTATACGAGAATTACGCAAATCTGCGCAAACCTGACCTGCTGCTGCTGTCCCTGAAGGTCTCCTAAACGCCTTTAAGCAACACAAATGGTTCTTTTTACTCAATGAAGAAAAAAAAAAAAAAACCCTGAAGGATTCTGATGACAGATCAACAGTTGCCTCTACTGCAGATAAGTATTCTGCATACACTCACAGAGGTGGTCAATGTGAGTGCTCAGCAAACAAGATGACAATGTCCCAAATGCAGACAGGAAGCTTTAAAATGGGACTTCATGAAGCAGTGGGTGACGGTGGCCACCTCCGTTCTGGGGTTTGGCATGACTGGACTCACGACTCATGAAGCTCTGAGTTACATCACTGTGTCAATTTGTCAGGTGACGCCATGCTCACGAGTTTCCTGCCACACTGAAGGTGAAAACAACCCCCTGATTGGCTGGCGGTGGTTCCTGGAGGTTTCTCTCTCTCATCTGGTGCAATCTGTTGCAAAGAAGGTGTTTTCTTTGGTTTCTACCATGTTGCCATGGTTACCTGTAGTTTTTCCTGTGTCTGCAAATTACCGCCAACTAATGGAAGTTTCCACTTCCACATGTTGGCTTCAGCAGGCACAACCTTAAGTTTGAAGCGGAATCTTATCCACTCCAGGCTGCACTACAGCTTGGAGAACAGCTGCAGGGTGTTTGAAGTCCATTGACATTCAGACTACATCTGCCCGTTCTTCCTAGCGACAGGTGGTTGCCGACGGTTGCAGACTTGTCTGTAGGAGTGTGTGACTGGATCCTAAATGATCACCATGACTGTTAAGTTAACGTCACGTGGGCAGTGCTCACATGCAAAGACCTGCAAAACCTTAATATGAAATTCAGCAAGTGCAGCGTTCTATGCCTCAGCAAGATAGAGATCCCTGGTTTGATCCCGGGAGGAGGAACGATTAAAAAATCACATGTGATTTTGTGGTGGTTACAACAGAACTTCAGTGAGCCTATTTATTCATTTCCATCAGCTACAGTATGACCACTGAGACACCAACTGAGAGAACATAAAGCCAGTTATTCATACTGAGGATGCTTTTCTATCATTTCAGAATCTTAAATGGACGCACATTTTCAAACACTGTTAGATCATCGTCATGTTAAAGCTCACGGTCGTGATATAAGAGCAGACGTTGCGTACGTTTGATGACGGACAGAGCGCACCACTGGACCTTCTTCCAGCGGCTGTGGATGAGCCACTTGTTGACCTTCTTCACCAGCTCGGCCAGATGGTCGGGGTCAGACTTCATGATCTGGTCAAATTCTGCAAACTGGACAGAGACGAGAAACACGTGATCAGAGCAGTGATTGTCTTTGATTTTTACCCGGATAAACCTCGTTTGTTCTTTTAGCCATTTTAATGGGCAGTGTGCCTCTTCTTTATCAAATACTCTGCTGAAAATAATCCCAAACAAATAACACATCATCATCATCATCATCATCATAGCCTTGAATCCTTGTCCTTCAGTCTTAAAAGCAGGTTTATTTTTCTGTTAGTGTGTTTTGTATCTCACTAAAGAGCAGCCAGAAGACCGGAGGTGTACGTTTATTCTAGTTCGAGTTCTCTACTCCATTCATGAATGTTTTAGAAGTCAAGGATATCTCCCACGCTTTAATGCTCTCTAACCTTAACTGCTCTGGATTTATAAGGCTTCGGAGCTCTTCTTTACGACTGTGCAGCTGACGTTTGTTGTGATCGTGTCCTCCAAACACCCCTGAACGATGAAAGAAACTGCTGAATTTCCTGCATTATCTGCTCAACATCTGTGTGTCCTTATTGTTTGTTTTCCAAATCTTGATTTCTAACAGCAGTGACACGCAGCCCTGCCAAACCCCCGCCCGCCTCCGGGTTTCAGATGTCTGAAGCTTCACACCATCACATTAGGAGCTACACTGCCTCTGAGATGTGCAAAGATTACCAAGGCTGTGCTTCAAGCTTTGACACATAAAACTTACTTTTCTGCCACCTAACATTTGCTAAAACTGGAAGCCACAACTGTCGGTGGCTGCTCGCAGGTGCAAACAGTTATTCACGGGGACCATGTGATGTTGCGTCTACACTGGAGGGTGGTGTCGTCTTCAGAAAGCAGCCAGCGAGGACTTAAGTATTTATGTATCCCCCTGTCCTGCAGCTATACTGTCAGGCTTATAGTTTGTCCAGCATGTAGCGCTTCAAGGCTCTCTGCTGCAAATGTGTGCACTTTCATAAGTCCCTCCTGGAAGCCACGCGTCTGACCCAAACGTGATTAATTATTCATCTGGTGGAGAAAAAAAGCCCATCTGCTGGCTCTGGCACTTCTTTAGAAAACCTCATCTAGTCTCACCTCGGCAGCAAAAGAAAACTAATGCGCTTTTCCTTTGGCTCTATTGTCTTTCTTTAGGTGAACAAAATCTATATTAGCCAGAGTGAGCAGGGAATAGAGCCTCACCTTCCCAGGCCGGAAGAACACTCTGGTCAGGCCGAACTTGTAGTCATTTTCATTCAGCCCCAGAGCTTTGAACAAAGCCTGCAACACAGATATGCAGGGCAGAGATAAACATGGGGATATAGCTCTGTTAAAATGATAACCACAAGAGCTCAGGGCCAAACCCGAGGGGCGGAGGGCTGACCTTGCAGAAGAGCCGCGGGTCGAGGCGGGTGAGCTTGGGAGGCATGTACTTCTGGTACATGTTGTAGAGCTCGTGGAATGGAGCTCGGGAGGGGAAACCGCCCTGCATCAGGTCCAGCACCGAGACCATACCTACAGACAAAAAAAAAGAGGAAAATATGATTTTACCAGACAAAAAAAGTTCGAGATCCACTAACCGCACAGCCAAGAAAGGCAATAAAAACAATCCCTCAGAGTTAGCTCATGAGCTTTAGGCATTTTACTCCAAACCAGTAAATCATAAACCAAATATCTCAGTGGACGTCTGAAAAGACGTTTCTGCTTTTGGAACACGAAAAGACTCGACACGAGGTTTCCACCTGTACACATATAAGATAAATTAATTACACAAATACTTGATACCAAGGAGAAAAGGCATGAGTCCACAGTATGAGCTGCCCAGTTCTGCAGTTTTTATGCCTCCTGCTTTCACATCAAACAGCTCTGAGGACTGCCTGCAGATAGAAACCAACCGGGGAGCCCCTGCTGGGAGCTTCCTGTTTACACTAGCACCTCTAACAGCAGCTCTGAAGTGATGAAGAGCCAGTTTCTGTAATCCCATTGCAGCCTCTTCACTCTCTTTGCTGTGTGGTGGATGGTGCGGAGCAGGTTGAAGTTTACTAGCAGAGAGTTTTATATTTCCTTCTGACATAGTGAAACCTTTTATTTCCTCCATCACATACAGGCTCAACAAAGTCTGGACTTCACTTGTATCCATGTACAGCTGATCTCTAATTCCCCCAAAGTCTTGTTTATACATTTTTGTTGTTTGCTGCATTCATTTTTGTTTCTGCATTCATGGACTTAACTGATTAATGTCACTCAATTATTATTCACTCAATTATTCTCTTAAGCAGGTCCCTTTTTTAGCTGCAGCTAAAAAAAGAAATAGAAAGTTACTGAAACACAGAGGAAGTTTCAACGATACAAAAACACAATATTTTTACTTCCTTATGCACACACGAGCACAGCGAGGACCAAGACCGTCTTCCAAATTAGATAAATGACACCAGGAAGCCTGGCTGACCTCGAGGCTTGATGCAAATAGAAGTGACAGAGGGGAGGTCCTCGAGTTCATAGACAGAGCCGCATCGTCGCAGGGCTCGAATGTGGATGACCTCTGACGATCCGACCATATTAAAAAGAGACCTACTCTTAAAAAAAAGCATCAGTTATGAATAAAATTTAATCTGTGACCAATGTGGACATCTTTTCACTGAATTTGACTAATAATAGATTTAGATCATCTCACATTAGGATTCATTATGAATCCATCTGGCAGTCGAAATAATCTCTTCTTTCTTCTAAAGAACCGATTATAAACATGAGAGTCTTACTTAAAACCGCTGTTTTAACCCAGCATCACAGCTTCCTCTACACCACTCCCAAGCACCATTGGACTCCTCAAATCTGAACACACTGAAGAGGAAACAACATGATGACTTATTAAAAACTAAATTTTTTTTATCACCAAACTTTTGTTTTGTTTTAGGACTTAGTGTTCCTCATTGTTAATGAGGACTTAGGTTTCCAGGGTTAAAACTGTTATAGGCTAATAAGTAGGCATATGAATTGATGCCAACTAACCTGTGTAAAACAAGAAAACACCCATTTCAGGTTTGACTGGGGTAAGTAGGTAATACAGACAGCTCTATAAGCTCTTGGACAACAACACAGTTTTTGTCATTTTGCCTGTTCCCTGATTATTTCAAGATAAATTGAGCAGATAAAATGATCTGGATGTCATGTGTTGAACTTATAGACTGAAATGAAAGGTCATAATTAAGATGAAAAACCAAAATAAACCAATCAGACAGAGGAAAAACTTTACAAGTAACCAAATCAACAATCTGGTG